CAGGCTTGATCTATCATATGTTGAGCCAGTCTGCAAATTTTTGAACCGCCTGTCAAACGAAGTGCCTGGATTGAGACAAAGAACAGTTGACTGCAATATGCAGGAGCTTTCAAACGTACACAGTGGCACAGATAAAACTTAACGCGTCTTATTACAACGATGGCAAGTGTATGCGTCGCAAAATCGTGGCTATGTGGTTATACAATACAATAATCGACAACAGCTGCTTTCAGTGGCCCCTTTGCAGTATGTACTAAAATGTGTTCCCTTACCAGGATTTACTCAGATGTTTTTCTGGGAATTACAACCCATTCTATGACCTTTTCACAAAAAGTAGCTTACCTGAACTTGAAATTGGAAATTACTTTCGTACAAAATACCAGAATGAGCTTTTAACTTTAACATCGAGAACACAAATTCAAGCGGCGAGGATGCGGAGAGAAATAGGGGTTTGGGGTAAGTTAGCAGAAACACAGGCAGAGGAGGGCACGGGAGCACGTGCCCCCTTTCCCCTTAGGTTCCGAGGGCCCGAGGGGCCGCTCGGGGCCAAAGATCAAGAGCCCAAAATGCCAGCCGGAGGCCATATTCAGGATCCCTGGGTCTACATGTCGGTCAGGCACCACCAGTGCCGCACAGTCCGCTCCCTATATGTGTATGCCTGGGGGCCCACTTTCCTATCAGCTACAAAATTGGGGCCAGTGATTTACACTGGTCGGGGCTCCTGCATCCACCAGGGACCCACAGCGCCTAGCAGAAGATCCTGTGCTGCAAGGGCTCCGAGCCCACCAAGGCCCGAGGAGTGGCCCGAGTGGTGCAACGGAACCGACTATCAAATACCCGGGTGGGGGCATAATGGTCCGAAGCGCTGGCTAATAGCGAAGCGCCGGTACATAACTAATGGCGCTTCGTACGGTCGTGACCTGAAATGTCAATGAGAAGTCCTCTTGCATCGTTTGAGGACCACCTATGACCATGCGGGTGTCTATATCTGCCAGATAGCATGAACATGGAGCAGCTTGCTCCCTGCCAGTTTGAACCCGGGGGCCCATTTCTCGATCAAGAGCAAGACCGGGACCACGATTTGCATTGGTCTGAGTCTCTAAAATAGTGGTTTGTACTCATTTGTCGGTCAGGGACCCCACAGTGCATAACAGGGCGTCATGTCTCGGCTGGTGGCCCCGATTCGGTCACAGGCTTTGTTTGAGGAGGCCCGATTAGGGGTCAGAAGACCCCTCGGAACCAAAGATCAAAGGCCCGACTAGACTCGCCCCCCCCCCCCCTCCTCTTACACACCCATAGTGCTGTGACCTGAAATGTCAGTCGTTGCCCGGCTGCATTCGCTGGGCCGCACCACGCCCCTCGCCTCGCCTGTCGCGTGACTTCGACTCACTCCGGCCGGACGGCCAGGAGCCGGCCGCGCGGTCACGTGACCTGGCGCTCTGCGAGCGACGGCCACCGCCTCGGGCGCCGCGAGCGAACGTCCGATCGGTGCAAGCAGCCGCGAAGTGACCGGCAGCACCGCACACATGGCACGCAGTAGCGCAGGCAGGGGGCACAGAGGGCGCGTGACCCTCTTCCCCCCCCCTCCCCTCCTTAGGTTCCGAGTGGCCCAAAGGACCCCTTAGAACCTACGAGTGAGGGCCCGAAAGACCAGCCGGAGGTCTCATTCGGGGGCGCCAGCCCACATGGCCGGGCACTCCAATGCCAGCCAGAGGGCCCTGCGCGCTGAACAGGGGCCTACTGAGTCGATAAGGGCCTGCATTTTGGCCAGATACCACCAGTAACGCACAGTCGGCTCCATGGTGGCATGGTCCTAGGGCCCATTTTCCAAACAGGGTCAAAGCCGGGGCCAGCGATTTACAATTGCACTTCCTCGGGGCTCGGGGTCCAATTGCTCGGGCCCTACACCACTTAACAGGGGCCCTGTGTTGTCAAGGGTCCCCAAGTCGGCTAGAGGCAGTGTTCGAGGAGGCCCGGGGAGCCCTGAGGGCCCACCCGGTCCGACAATCAAGGGTTCGACTGAAGGGTGTAAGGGCATAAAGAGCTGGTCGGAGTCTTATTGGGAGGCCAGACCCGCGAAGACGGACCCTCAAATGGCGGTCAGGCGGCCTTTTGCGCCGATCGGGGACCCGCTGAGTCGATACGGGCCTATACGTCGGTCGGGTACCACCGTACCACATAATCGGCGCTGTGTCGATGTGAGGCTGAGGACCCACTTTCGAATCAACCATAAAACCGGGGCCAATGACTTACACTGGTCGAATGCTTTGGATCTGTCAGGGACCCACAGCGCATAACAGAGGGCCCCGTGCTCGCCATGCCCACGAGCCAATCAAGAGAAGTGCTTGATGAGGCCCGAAGAGGGGCCCGAGTGGCCCACCGGACTCGACAATTAAACACCCGGTTGGAGAACACACGGGCCCAAAGGACTGACTGTTAGCCACATAGAGAATCGCCGCCCGTAGGCTGGTGACCTGAAATATCAGTCAGAGATTCTCCTGCACTGTTAAGGAACCTCTGAGACCATGCGGACGTCTAAATCTGTCAGGGACCACGAATACCGAACAGTCGGCTCCATGTGCGTCTGAGCCCTTGAGACCCTCATTCCCTAAACAGATATGAGGCCGGGGTCCGTGATTTTCAATGTTCGGGCTTCCTGATACAGTGAGGGGCTCCTCTGGCGGTTAGGGGCCACAGTGCCGAACAGGGGTCCTGTGGCGGCAAGTGACCCCAAGTCGGAGCGGTGTTTGAGGTGGCTCAGAGAGGGGCCGAAGGGTCTATCGAGACCAAAGATCAAGGGCCCGATGGGATGGCTGAAGGGTCCGAAGGGCTGGCTGTAGGTCACATTGAGGACCCCGCCCATAGGGCCATGATCTCAAATGTCAGGAAGATGATCTCTTACACCGATAGGGACCCCTGAGACAGAGCGTTCCTGTATTTCGGCCATAGATCACGAAAAACGAATAACCGACTCCATGTTACTTTGAGCTCTGCGAGCCCATTTCCCAAGAAAGGACAAGGCCGGTCCCGCCACTTACATCGGTCGGGCTCCTGTATTATTCAGGGGCTCACAGTGCCTAACAGACATTCTGTGTCAGCAACAACCAATCGGCCAGCGACGATTTGTTCAACAGGGACGGGTATCATCATCTTTTATTGTCATCATTATTGTCATCAATCTAAATACTGCACAGGTAAGACATATGCCTGGAATGTCTCTAGATGTACGATGTGGTGTTCAAGACGTTCAAAGATACTTTTAAGATGCGTCACCATTTTTGTTCATCTGTTGGCCACGGTCTAGTCTTGGCCACGGGACCGAAGCTGCGCGGCCTAAAGAGAATGCAACGTCTGACGTCGCGTTTTACCAAGATATTCGAGCGCGCGTCCTCAAAGCTACGTTGCATAGTTTTTAAACCTTTCAATTATAAATGGATGTTGAGCTTATCCAGACAAAAATGGGTTGTCTATCTTGAAACAAATTATTGACCCATTTTGATATTTTATTGGCATTAGCGGAATCCCTGCTATCTCTGTACAAACCAAATAAAAATTCTAGCAACGATTCTGAATTCTATTCATTTAAAAAGAGTTCATTGGACCATTTATTTCATGCAGTCATTTAACGCATGATTTTGTTAGGATATTTACAGCAAACGTAGGGCAGCATTGATCTTGAGTCTGGCCTATATGTGACTCATAGGAGATGAAAATGTGTAATACATATATGCAGTTATATGTATATATTTATATGGATGTATATAAATATAATATCAAAACCATGCTCTCAGCAATAAATGGGCCACATCCGGGGATTTTTGGGGAGGCCCTTTTACTATCGGGGAGACTTTGAACCCTGTACCCCCTTTGCCAAGGTTCTAGCTGCGCCCCTGATGGCACGTACATCCACGGCGGTACAGCGTTCTCCGTCGGCATGTCTAGGGCGTCCGCAGAGGGGGTAGGAATCGTCTCGGCATGCATGAGCGGAACGGGGGCAGACGCGCAACTGGCGATAAGCCGACGCTGCTACCGGCCGTGCCATGTGCTGTTCTCACCGGCTAGATCTCGGCTCGGCTCGTTTGTTAAAAGACTGGATTAGGGATGTTCTTGTACGAACTATGCATGGCCATCCGCGGCAGACGCGTGCGGTGGACGGCAAAGCGCGTGCAGTCGCGTGCGGTGCGGATCAGTCGCCGCCGCGAGCGATCGGCGACTGTTCCGCCGATCGCTCGCTGTGTGTGTGTGTGTGTGTGTGTGTGTGTGTGTGTGTGTGTGTGTGTGTGTGTGTGTGTGTGTGTGTGTGTGTGTGTGTGTGTGTGTGTGTGGTGTGTGTGTGTGTGTGTGTGTGTGTGTGTGTGTGTGTGTGTGTGTGTGTGGTGTGTGTGTGTGTGTGTGTGTGTGTGTGTGTGTGTGTGTGTGTGTGTGTGTGTGTGTGTGTGTGTGTGTGTGTGTGTGTGTGTGTGTGTGAGTATTTTACAGATGGTGGAAGAGTGAGCAAGACTTTTGGCACACTTTGTTCATTCCTTCGATGGTGGTGGAAGAACCAAAGAGAGCTAGGAACTAGGCTCTGGTGTTTGTGGAAAGCCAGTGATAACCAAGAACGAGGGTCTGGTGTTGTAGGAGCCAGGGGGGGGGGGGCTAGGAACGAGGTTCTGGTGCTGTAGGAACCTATACCAGTGAAAACTAGGAACCTAGATCTTGTGGTTTCAAAAGGACTAGTGAAAGCCAGGAACTAGGTTTGTGTAATTCCAAAACCAACAATGGGTCCAGGAACGCAGCGCTAATGCTCATGAAAGAACCAGCCGGGATCAGGATTCAGAGTCTCGCATTATTGAGGGAAAGTGCGAACCTAGGACCAACAGTGGGAACGAGGTACGTGTCTGCTCAGCCAATAGTCTCTAGATACTTAGGTTGATCCGCACAAGAATGATGAAGTCCTTTTCAGGACCGTTAAATAATTTTGGAGACCACCGACTCCACATAACTGCATATCTGATGACATGAAGGTGAGCGTGTCGGTTTTTGTGGTGCGAGCTCCAATGTCTGTGACATATTGACACGGTGGCACAACGCTTTACCAACCCACCTATTTGATCAGATGAATGTATCAGCAGAGCCACGCCATTCATCAGCTAAGCGGCGCCACGGATGGAGAATGAAAATCATGATTTGTACAGTGGGACGAGAAAAATGCTCTCTCCCTACCGGGGTCATAAAGGAAGTGTTCCACACTTGCATGGGGTTTTGAACTAAGATACCAATCTTGAAGATCGTTCGGCGCAGTTCACAGCCCTGCCCTTCTAAATATGCGCTCGGGTGGGAGGGATCAAATTGACCCCCGAAGGCTTTTCCAGAATGGCTCCGAACGGCACGGTGCGGCCGCGCCAAGTTTTGCATAGCTGTAGACAATTGAATAGCGAATCGTTTGATATAAAACATTTAGATATACTTTGTAAAATCGCTGGCCTATGGCAGGTCAAAGTCAGGCCATGGTTTCAGCGAAGGCAATTTCTGGTGAATCGTCCAATCTGATACAATAACGGAGTGTTTGACGAATCCATACATCTCTAAGATGCTTTCTTAGGCAACACAAATATTGAATTGGCAAATTATGTTGACCTAAGGTCCGGTATGAAGGTCAGACCAAGGTCAAAACTAACCTGATTTATTTCTTTAGAGCTTGCTGTATGGGATAGTTTGTGGTGCTCATTTCGAATTTAATGACAGCAGGAACCGCATTATGCATTTTTCATTGACTTCTTAGAGGTCAGAACAGGTTATTGATCTAAGATGACCCGGGTCAACATTTTGTTTTAGGAGCATACTGGAGCCTGGCGTAATCCTTGTCGCTTATTCAAAGGCCAAGTTCAGAGCAGTCTTGTATGATTTTGATCACCATGACCTTCAAAAGGTTAAGCAAGGTCACCGACCTAAAAAAGGCTTGTAGCCTAAGAAACAGTTGCCTAGGTTCTGGGGGCACTTCAGGGACCATGCCTAGGAACATCAAACTTTGACCTAAGTGAGTTCATGTACAGGTCAACAAACTGTAAATTTTGTGTCCCTAGCTTTCTTAGTTCCCGAGATCTCAGGGGAATCAAATTGTCCCCCCCCCCCCGGGCGAAGGGTAACTAGCCGGCCACCCGGGCGCGTGTTGAAGAACAGCATAAGAAAGACAACGGGAATGAAAAGCGGAACACCATCGACCAAGACAAGGAAATACAAACGTTTCTTATACAAATGCCAAATGCTTCATTTAAATGATTCTGTTCGGCAAAAATGGTGATACAAAGGGCCACGTTTGTGAAGAAATGCAGCAAGCAGAAACGCGACATGAAGAATCGTAGAGGCAAATACGAAGAACTCCGTACGATACAAAGAGCTCCGTGCGATACAAAGGACTCCGTAGGATGCAAAGAGCTCCGAGTGCGACAAATCGCCTAACAAAGAATAGCATGTACGACGAAATTCGGTGTGGAAGAATGCGCGCATGCATAAATGCCGCAGACATCACGACGCGTGCGATATCTTATGGAGAGAAATATTTGGAGCAAAATTCTGCGCGTGGGGACAATGCAGAGATTGGCGTGGTCGCGATAAGATCATTCTTAAGTTCCACGTTCGAAGAGCTGTAATACGACGGTTCGTGTGCTGAAATCCTGGAGGTCAGGCTGTGTTTGGGTAAAGGGCTGGCTGCCCACGGTGTTTCGGATCAATCCGCCGAGCATGATATGCAAACTGGCGCCAATGCCAGGTGAGGAAACACCCATGCTCTGATCTCCTCAGGGATCGCCCACGACACCTCGTAGTATCTGCATGCTCATTTCAGCCGGATTGTGCAATCATGAGTCCGTGTCGGTGCTGCGAGTGAATGCTCACGAGCGGATACGGTATAAAGCTGCGAGGCTCGGTGGGCCAGGCACAGTTGCTCCAACTAGTCGTCCCGGCAAGCATGAAGATCCTGATTGTGGCTGCTCTTGCCTGTGTGGCTGTAGCGGATCGACGTGGCTCTGGTGCTCAGTCCCAGTACGGTGCTCCCTCTAGTGCTCAGTCCCAGTACGGTGCCCCCTCTGGTGCTCAGTCCCAGTACGGTGCCCCCTCTGGTGCTCAGTCCCAGTACGGTGCCCCCTCTGGTGCTCAGTCCCAGTACGGTGCCCCCTCTGGTGCTCAGTCCCAGTACGGTGCCCCCTCTGGTGCTCAGTCCCAGTACGGTGCCTCTTCTGGTTCCCAGTCTCAATATGGGTCGTCATCGGCATCATCAGGCTATGGTCTGCAGTCTCGGAGGAGACCATTTGAGTCCAGCCTGAAGCCGACCTACGGTCAGCAGTCCAACGGAGGCTATGGCCAGCAGTCCAGCAACGGGGGTTACAGCCAGCAGTTCAACGGAGGCTACAGCCAGCAGTCCAACGGAGGCTACAGCCAGCAGTCCAGCGGAGGTTACAGCCAGCAGTCCAGCGGAGGCTATGGCCAGCAGTCCAACGGAGGGTACGGACAGCAGTCCAGCGGAAGCTATGGCCAGCAGTCCAACGGAGGATATGGCCAGCAGTCCAACGGAGGCTACGGACAGACAGAGCCTCCTACGCCCTACTCGTTCAGCTACGACGTGCTGGATGTCCGTGGCAATGACTTTGGCGCGGCCGAGGAGTCCAACGGTGAGGAGGTGCAGGGCCAGTACAGCGTCGTGCTGCCCGACGGCCGACTCCAGACCGTCTCCTACTCGGTCCAGGGCGACTCTGGCTTTGTGGCCGACCTTGAGTACGAGGGCGAGGCCAAGTTCCTCAACGCCTACGGCGAGGAGGAGGGTCGCAGCAACGTCAAGAGGGGGCGTGGCCCGACCGGAGGTCAGGGTTACGGCTCCAGCCAGGGACCGGCGTATGGAAACTAAACACGGTGCTGATAACTTTGTCAGAGCCTTTTCTTCCCAGTTCTTATTGTTCCATATCTGCTTTTGTGTGACCGTTTAGCCGTGCCCCGTCTCTTCTTGTTTTCTGTCTTTGAGAATGTGTCTCTAGAAACACCTGATGTTGGATGGCACAGTATGTTTAAAGGTGTGACGGTCTGTTTGTCTCATGTGCAAGCGTGTTACTGAAACAATAAATATGGTCAGAAGATTTTCTGTTGTCGTGCTTATCACGGTTGCCGACCGGCGACCAATTAATGATACACTGTTGATGTTATCGATAAGCATTCTGCATCTGGATTTGTACAGAACCTTTCGGGGTCCTTATAAATGCCTAAGGGTTGAGAATTGGATGGGGAATTAGCGAAGCAACAGTAGAGATGAGTGATATCACGTTAAAAAAATACCACAGCACACAATGCAGTTCTGGCCAGACGCCCTGGATTTGAACGTTCGAAAACGCTGTCATCATCGGTTCGCTTTGGTCTTGTGTAGTGACAAAAAATGACGCATGCCAAGTGCTACATGGTACCTAATCACCTGAATGTTAAGCCATTTGCTTATAGCAAATACGACAGATAGGCATGACGTGTACCATCTCCATATGTACACTCGGCCCTGATAACTGCCGTGGACATTTTATAAGTTCAGCAGCGAGGAGCGGCTTCTGTGGAGGGACGCGCGGAGCATGCCCCCCCCCCCCCCCCCCCCCGGCTCGCGGGAGTTCCCATCACGCAGGTGCGAAGAGTAAGGCATGCTTTGTGGAATCGGTGCATGCATCGCGTACAGGCCTAAGACGAGATGCTGACGTCGATTGGCACAAATCAACTATACAATGTACACACGCGTGGCACAGAGTTTGGAAGCGCAATACGAACACCAGAACGTTAACCCGAGTGCATGATGTTTTACCAACCGGCCCATAAAATCAAATGAATGCAGCGGGAGGTAATCACACCAGTCACCAGCTATGTAAGGTCCCATGCGGAAACTGATAGGATCTCGCTTTGGGCCTGCACGCAATGTACACGTTGGGGCGAAAACAGGATCTCTAAGTACGGGTCTTCTAAGAACGGAATGGAAGTAGAAACGGATAGCTGCGAAGCAGCAGCGCAGCCGCGTGCAGGATGAAACAGTATGGCAATTTTTGCTCAAATATCATAGATTTTATGAGTAAGATTCCGTTGGGCAGAGAATGTCATGCGTAACGAAGCGTTTAAGGCGGCATGCAACGAGCAGAGATTTCACGCAAAGATACGCGTGTGTGCAGAAATGTCGGCGCGATGCACAGAGTTGCGTATGTTACGAAATATGATGCACCGATTCGCATATTCTACGAAATCAAATCGAAAAAAATGCGCATGCGAAGAAATAAAACTAAACCTTTGTGGGTAGGAGGTTTTGTAAACACGAATATTTGCGAGCGGATATTTGCGCCGGATGCAGTGCGTTACAAAGTCGTTACACGAGGCTTTGTCCGATTCTGAAGACTAGGGTGTGTTTGAGTAAAGAGCTGGCTGCCCACTGTGTTTCGGGTCAATCCGCCGAGTATGATATACAAGCCGGTGCCAATGTCAGGTGAGGAAACACCCGTGCTCTGATCTCCTCACGGATCGCCCGCGACACCTCGTACAATCTGCATACTCATTTCAGCCAGATTGTGCAATCATGATTCCGTGTCGGTGCTGCCAAGGCGGTGATTGAATGCTCACGAGCGGATACGGTATAAAACTGCGAGACTCGGTGGGCCAGGCACAGTTGCTCCAACTAGTCCTCTCGGCAAGCATGAAGATCCTGATTATAGCTACCCTTGCCTTCGTGGCTGCAGCGGATCGACGTGGCTTTGGTGCCCAGACCCAGCACGATGCTCCCTCTGGTGCTCAGTCCCAGTACGGTGCTCCCTCCGGTGCTCAGTCCCAGTACGGCGCTCCCTCCGGTGCCCAGTCCCAGTACGGTGCTCCCTCTGGCACCCAGTCCCAGTACGGTGCTCGCTCTGGTGCCCAGTCTCAGTACGGTGCTCCTTCTGGTGCCCAGTCTCAACATGGGTCTTCATCGGCATCGTCAGGCTATGGTCTGCAGTCTCGGAGGAGACCATTTGAGTCTAGCCTGAAGCCGACCTACGGCCAGCAGTCCAACGGAGGCTATGGCCAGCAGTCGAACGGAGGCTACGGACAGCAGTCCAACGGAGGCTACAGCCAGCAGTCCAACGGAGGTTACAGCCAGCAGTCCAATGGAGGTTATGGCCAGCAGTCAAACGGAGGCTATAGCCAACAGTCCAACGGAGGCTATGGCCAGCAGTCCAACGGAGGCTATGGTCAGCAGTCCAACGGAGGCTACGGACAGACCGAGCCTCCAACGCCCTACTCGTTCAGCTACGACGTGCTGGATGTGCGTGGTAATGACTTTGGCGCGGCCGAGGAGTCCAACGGTGAGGAGGTGCAAGGTCAGTACAGCGTCGTGCTGCCCGACGGCCGGCTCCAGACCGTCTCCTACTCGGTCCAGGGCGACTCTGGCTTTGTGGCCGACGTCGAGTACGAGGGTGAGGCCAAGTTCTTCAACGCCTACGGCGAGGAGGAGGGTCGCAGCAACGTCAAGAGGGGGCGTGGCCCGACCGGAGGTCAGGGCTATGGCTCCAGCCGGAGATCGGTGTATGGAAACTAAACATGGTGATGATAACTTTGTCAGTAATTTGTTTTGCTCCAGCTCACTTTGCTGAAATCTGCTTTCGGATGAACGTTTGTTCGTGACTCATTTTTTCTTCCTTGCTGCGTATTTGCATGCATTTTTAGAGCACTTATAATTGCACAGTCCGAAATATTTTGGAGCATAACAATATGTTTGGTGTTTGAGGTATGTCAATGTGTTAATTGGTTGTGGAAAGCGTATGTGGTGGAAACAATAAATAAATCAGAAAATGTTTATCGTGTCATGTTTATTATGTTTGCTGACTAAAGAAAAATGATGCATAAATAATCTATGCTCACCCGTAGTTATTGTACACCTGGAGTTGCGCAGATTTGCAACGCCACGATAGATGCCCTACAACCACCGGATGTCGATCTGTATCCTTTTGTAAAACCCCTGGCCCCCTAACGTTGGTTTGGACCCCAGCGTTGGTTTGCCACCTAAATTTAACAAATGAGCAAGTGCTTGCAGGCTCGCTTTGCTATGTGGCGGAACTGGCTCCTTTACAGAGAGTGGGCCATATTTGTATAGCTTTTGAACTGAAATGACCGTCTTGAACATCATTCGGTGCAGTTCACAGCCCTGTCATTTCTAAGACCTAAACCCCTCCAGTCGCTGAAGCATCCATGACGCCATAATGTTGTTACTGAAATCCTGCCATTCCAGTAGCCATGCGCTGATCAAGGCTAAACAGAATATGAGTGTCGAGTCCTTAACATCTGGCGCTCGAGAGCACGATGTCCAGATATAAGAGACGTCATTTGCCTCCCAATGTGCGTGGCACGATGTCGTATTAAAAAATGACTTACTGAGAAGCATAGTTACTAAACGGAGAAATTGTGCTGTCTGGAACACCCTTTTTCACTTAAAAGTACATGCAAGAGTTATAAGTGTACTTAATCAATCATATCTAATGCGTGCTTCAATATCTTCAAATGTGGGGCATTGGCTTCATAACAAAGGAAAGGCCTGTCGCGTTCCTCTGAGCGATTTGCGTTCGCCTTACTTTAGGATGCATTGAACACCGTCCATAGGATTTCCTGACCGATCCCAATTCTGGTTGCCGGGCTGCCCGTATGCAGCCGCTTGTGATGTGCTGAGTATGCACATCATATAGTATGACATACTGTCTGTTTCAGTACGCAATCGTAAGCCCATTGGGAAAGCATTAATTCGAGTCTGAGACAAACATTGCCATAGCACTTCCCTATTTCGCCCATGGTCATGCTTCGAAGCTGATGAAGCACATCAAAGCCCAAAATAAATTACCCAGCAAAATATTTGGGGGCATTCAGGTGTACTGCTTATTGAGACAACCACTGCTGCTGAAGCATTGTCATGCATTACAAAAGTACCAAGGAAACCGTTCTTGCTGCCGTTGTAAAAGCCAATATTCCCTTAATTTCGCTGCTGCACATTTGCTCAATACTGCTGCAACGTGTTTGCGTGGTCAGACTCTGCATTGACTACAAAGCACGCCTCGCAAATTCATTTGGAGCACTGTTTGCCGTAGCAGTGGGCTTTGCTGAAGAAAAAATGACTAAATTTGTTGAGTCCTGTTAACGCACTCGTTGTAAATTATTTTTCACCCGATGTGTGTGGTTCCATTGGCATTTCTCAAACCATTGGGCTTGAGTACTGCGCTCGATTATCACTTAGGCTGACCTTTTTCTCCGCAACGAATGAATAAACTAAAGCAAAACAGTTGCATTCGGCATGTGCACGTTTGGTTGTTCATCTGCTTACAATGCTCACCGGCGACGACTGAGCGACCGATCGGCGGCATTTTGGCGACGCAAAAATGCGAAATTGCAGCCCTTTAACTAAAGTTGATGTTTGGACGAGATAGCCACAAAATAACTACTGAATCCATGGTAAGAGCAGGCATTGGCCCGGTGCACGCGATGGTGTGAATTTCATCGAGAGAATGGCTACTGTTAACTGTTTGATTTGGAGCCCTTCCGGCCAGACATGACCATTTCAGGGCAATGGGAGGGAGAGTGGATAACGGAAGGGCAGGATTACATGCACCTGGCAGGCCAACCGCCGAGGCTGAGTCCGCGCAGGAACCCCTCTGTGGGGCGTGCGCTGGGCGCCCGGTAGGTCCCTCCACAGGGGACATATCAGCCGACAGGTGGCTGACGCATGCAGCATGCCCTGGTCGAAGGGGCATCGTGAGGATTTAGGCTGAAGTAAAGAAGAGAATAAGAGGGAAGGATGACATGGCTGCTAACTCGCCGATGGCTTTTTGTATTAGGCGCCGCTTTCCGAGAGGCCGACATTCCCGACTTTCCCTTCGATTACTGGCGCAGTCGTGAGTTGCACAAATTCATTTTGGCGATATGAATTGTGGACGGTTCGTTGCTCGACGCTTTGAAATTTGACTCGCGCCACCACTCACTCTGGCTGCCGAAATAGCTATCCAACGTAAAAACCGTGAAAACCGAGCGAAGCTACCTTTAGCACCTCTGCGCACGTGGGTGTGGCACGTCGACTGCACGTCTAGAGCCACGCGACTCCCCTGCCGACTCGCTACCGAGTCGTGCCGACTTCCTGTCGCTGCCGAGTCGTGCCGACTTCCTGTCGCTGCCGATTCGTGCCGACTTCCTGTCGCTACCGAGTCGTACCGACTTCCTGTCGCTGCCGAGTCGTGCCGACTTCCTGCCGCTACCGAGTCGTGACGATTTCCTGTCGCTCCGACCGCTGGTCAGCGAGATGTGGCCATAGAACGGCTGCTCGTCAACTTTGTCGTCGGTCACACTTGCTCCCGCGGAAAATCAATGAGCCAAAAGTGCACCTTGTAGCACGTGCCACGCCCGAACCCCGGACCGCGGAGCCTCGCGAGCTACTCATGGAAAACCGCCTCACACTCCGGCGCAGCGTGTACAAATCGCAAAACTCAGTAACGCGCTGTTCGGCCCGGTCGCAACGACTTGTAAAGTGGGACGGACAGACGGACAGACGCACCCTGAGCGAATGGGCCTAACCCGCTTTGCCCAGTCCAGCCCATTTTGTTGGGCGACTGTTGAGGTGATTTTGAGGTGTGCTGCCTGTTATTGCCGAAGCAGGCGAGTAACGCTTCTCAATCAGCCAAGTTCTCGTTTCTTCCGCTCGGTAGGAAGCATGGAAACATGGTCTGTACAGGTTACCTAAAATAAAATCTTAAGAGGATACCATCACAGCCCAACCATTTCTTTCCACTTCCGTGATGGATCTGACCATATTTTGTTTATCGCATACCCCGTCTACGCCCAAAACGAAATCCCGTTAATTTTGAAAAAGAAGCATCATTCTAAAACTTAATCAAAAGCTCGCTAAGCCCATTAACCGTACAAAGTCCGCCTAACCTTGGCGCCCACTATACTCTCATCACCAGTGCGCGAAAGCGCATGGCCAGAGTAACGCCTGCACAAATATTGAATTACAGTCAGGAGCTTACCAACCGAACGCTCGCCTTGTGCTGTTATCGTCACGATTGTCATTATCGTGATATAACGAAGGAGCCCAACTAGTTTTCAGAAATATATGAGGTCAGCCGTCACCACGGCAGGGACATTGATTCCAAAATGGCGCACGTAGGACATGTGGTAATACCCGCAGGTAGGGCCGTGCCAACCAACGTCATACGAGCAGATATAAACTGGATTGAGACAAGCTGTAGAGCTTTAGGCATATACCTTACAAGAATGTTTCTGAAAATGTAAACATATTAAAACAACTTACAGGATATACTACTGCAAGCATGAACTACGTGGAACGAGCAATACCTTAGATGCATTCTAAACTCAATCCGACGTCTTATATTTCTTCGAGTTATTTTGGTACAAGCTAATAGCCACATATACTGACCAAAGATACCCCAAACACCATATCCTGTATGCCCGAACAGCTTCTATTCATTTGCAGAAGAGGACAAGGCAAGAGAAAGACGACCCATCCAAACTACAGTCACGACTGGTGGCCGCAGCACAGCGTCGGACCTCTTCGACCAGTGGGCATACGGACACCATGTCGGGCGCCCCCAAGAGCCAGCCCCAAGCCGCATATAGAGCAGGTCTTACAATTCCTCGGTACAACTACGCCGCTCAGCGGCAGGTCATAATGTAAGAGCTGTATTTACGAGGTCACGCACCGGCACGACGCCCTCCGTGGTTCGGGTCAATTTGCCAGGCATGATTCACGCACGAGTGCCAATGGCAGGTGAGGAAACACCCGTGTTCTGATCTCCTGACGGATCGGCCGCGACACCTCGTACTATTTGCATACTCATTTTCATCTCAATTGCGCGATCGTTCTGCTGCCGTCGCCGCCGCCTCCAAGGCGGCGGCGACGAAAGCTCACCAGCGAATACGGTATGAAACGGTCAAACTCAGCGGGCCAATCACAGTTGCTCAAACTAGTCCTCTCAGCAAGTAAAAAGATCCTGGTTGTAGCTGCCCTCGCTGTGGTGGTTGCAGGAGACCGGCGTGGCTCTGGTGCCCAATCAGTATGGTGCTCCTTCGGGTGCCCAGTCCCAGTGCGGTGCTCCCTCTGGTGCCCAGTCCCAGGACGGTGCTTCCTCTGGTGCTTAGTCTTAGTACGGTACTCCCTCTGGCTCCCAGTCTCGATATGGGTCGTAATCGTTACCGTCAGGCTACGGTTTGCAGTCTCGGAGGAGACCATCTGAGTTTTGCCTAAAGGCAACCTCCGGCCAGCAGTCCAACGGAGGCTACAGCTAGCAGCCAAGCAACGGGAGCTATGACCAACAGCCCAGCAACGGAGGGTACGGACAGCAATCCACCAACGGAGCCTACAGTCAACAGTCCAACGGAGGTTACAGCCAGCAGTTCGGCGTGGGACGTGGCCAGTGGCCAGCAGTTCGAGGGGAGGGGGGGGGGAGCGCCAGCAGTCTAACGGAGGTGACAGCCAGCAGTCCGGCGGGGGGTACGGTCAGCAGTCTAACGGAGGCTACGGGCAGCCCAGGCCTCCTACGCCGTGCTCGTTCAGCTACGACGTACTGGACGTGCCTGGTAACGTCTTTGGCGCGGACGAGGAGGCCAACAGTGAGGAGATGCAGGGCCAGTACAGCGTCGTGCTGCCCGATGACCGACTCCAGACCGTCTGCTATACGGTCCAGGCGACTCTGGCTTTGTGGCCGACGTCGAGTACGAGGGCGAGGTCACGTTCTTCAACGCCTACCGCGAGGAGGAGGGCCGCAGCAACGTCAAGAGGGGACGTGGCCCGACCAGAAGTCAGGGATACGGCTCCAGCCAGCGATCGGCCTACGGAAAATAAACATGGTGCTGATAGCTTTGTCAGGAATTTCTTTTGCTCCAGCTCACTTTGCTGTAAATCTGCTTCTGGGTGACTGAAACACTAAACTTAACTACGATGGGGGAACTAAACACGATGCTGATAATCTTGTCAGCATTTTTCTTTCCATTTCATACTGGTCTATTTCCGCTAATGTTGTCAGCCAGTGTTACCAGTGTTGTCATGAAGTTGGCAGCCAGTGTGACCACTGTTGATATGAAGTTGTCCATAAGTGGCGACGCACTGTCAACTTGTTTAGGATCGATGAAGATATTGCGGCTCTAAGTGAAAAGGTACATTCTACGTTCTGCGCACTCCATTTTCCGGGCCTGAGTCAAAGCTGCGCATCTATATCCAGCTTTACAGGAAGCATCCCACCTTTTTGCACTTATCACTCATAGTTGTCACGCAGAGTCCATGGACATTTTTGCGCTTGTCACTTATAGTTCATCCGGAGTATCCGATTTGGTTAGTAATCCTAATTTTTCGTAATGCCTTTTTGAATAGCTGAGAATTTCGGTTTTAAGTAGCTGCTACGGTAAGGAAATGTCATTGGACTCCCTGTCCACCACCATGAATTCAATACATTAAATAACATGATTCTTGGTATGAGAGCTTCAAGTCTGCTATTTAAGCAAAAAGGTGTGCACATATGAAGCCACTATCACGGGAATTCCTGCGAATTCAATGAAACGTCGCACAAAGGCTTTGATTTCTGCCCGTCGGATTTAGCGCAGTGACTATTTTGAAGGGTACTTTAGCTTTGGTAAGCATGGTTTACTTCTATGTTCAGTTCGTTGCAAGGTTCGTTGTGTTTACAAGCAGGCACATACCAGCGGCACATCGAGTGGTTTTGTGACGCTCATGTTCCAAAGTCCACCAACGCACATGTCGCTAAATACTTGCGCTGTCCGCCGTCTCAGTCACAAACGTTCACTTCTTCTCACGTTATTCAAACCTAACGCACATGCAAATGCATAATGAACATCCCTCCGGTGAAGGTAAGCAATCTTGGTAGGTGGAGATACCACGTAATTTAAATGAACATGTTTGGCTCCACTTTTCCACAAAATATTCCCATTCTGAGCAGACCAGCTTTGCGTGACGTCATATGATAGCAGCCATCTTAAGATGGGAGGGGCACATGTAGGATGGCAATTTCCATTTTTTCTAATCTCAGCATCGATCATATAGATCGAATTCGATTTTCGATCACGATCACATTTGTAGCCCCGTGCGAAGATAATGGATTCGTGGCGAGTCGGCGGTGGGTTCATTCCCACCGCCGATCATTCCCGGGGTAGAGATCATTTGATGAGAACCAGGCAGCTGTTTCTGAATCTTGGATGAGCGAGCAGCTTTTTGGGGATAGTTTACATAAATTTGAAGTATCTGGTTACAATAATACGTCAACATTTCACAGAAAAGTGAAAAAGGAGGAGAGATATTAGTACATGTGAGGCAGAATATACTGTGAAAATGTTGAAAGTATGACGACTGGCCATAGTGTAGAATCTCTCTGGCTAGATTTGGTTGTGTCAAAGGGCAACAAGCTACGCATTGGAGCCTTCTACAGGTCTCCGAATAGTTTCCAGAATCTGGACACAGAAATATGTGAAGAAATTGGCAGAGGTATGAAAGGAAAATGTGTGATGCTGGGGGATTAGGAGAAAATTTCCTCGGCAGGTGGCGCGCGAACCCACTGGGGGAGATAAGACTTTGGATCTTGTTTTGACTAATGAGGAGGGGCTGGTAGATGCTTTGGCAGTAGGTAAGGCACTTTGAAACTGTGACCATAATATTGTAAGGTTTTCAACGTGTCTATATTTTTTTCAGGTAAGGCCAATCATACCCTTATTTCTATTTTTCCTACGGGTTGATTTGAAGCACTTACAGCCTTTCTTGCCAGCATCCAGTGGGAGAATGCTCTAACTGGTCTCACTGTGCAGCAAATGTGGGAAGTATTCAAGGATAGTTTAGAAGAAGGACAGAAAGGTTCATATCCTTTAGAAAATTGCGAGAAAATAGCTCTAGGAAGCTATCATGGCTGGCGCAATTTGATGGCAGTGAAGAAGATGATGGGCAATGATGGGCAAACAGTGCAAGACACAGAAAGCAGCAAGCAAGAGTATAGGATTGCAACAAAAAAGCTTAAGCAGGAAATCGGGGCAGGCAAAACATTATCAGAAATGCGGCTAGCAGAGACTAGCTCTGGCGACTTTAAGAATTTTTTTTATTACTACAAAGTCATATCTAAGGGGCCCGTCGGCCCTCTCGAGGAACGTGGAAAGTCTTTAGTGGAGCACAGGCACATTGTAGATGCCCTTAGTAGGCAGTTTCCTTCGGTTTATACAGAGGAGACTATGTATAATCTCCTCCAAATTAGGCAAAACTTGACTGAAGGCAGCCTTTTAGATTTGACGATAACCTTGGGTATGGTAAAGGGTAGATCGACGGAAATCAAGGTTAATAAAGTGGTCGGATCTGACCAGATATATGGAAGGATGTTGAATGAGTGCGCCAGTGCTCTAGCTTATCCTCTTATGCTAATATTTAATGGATCATTGAGTTTCTCAGAAGACCCGAGGACTGGCGCAATGCCAATGCAATGCCGATTTTTAAGAAGGGGACTAAAGAAGTGTCAGCAAGTACAGGCCTGTGAGTTTAACCTCACTAGTTTGTAAGGCCTTAGAGATTAAGGCTAGCATTCAGTCACACTTAGAAAAGCATCAGTTGATTAATAGAAGTCACCATGGTTTTCTTTCTGGTAGGTTCTGTTCGGCAAATCATCTAGAGTTCATGGAGCAGATTACTAGTCAGAGAGATGAAGGCAATGGTTCAAATGTTGTCTTTCCAGATTTTAGCAAGGCATTTTATAAAATGTCACGCCAGCGTCTGCTTTATCAGTTAAAATTGCATGGCATTGAGGGAAAAACTGTTCGCTGGGTAAGGGCTTGGCTTCTAAACAGAAAGCAAAGAGTGGTGCTCAATGGTACAAAATCTCAGTGGGAGCTACTAGAGAGTAGCCTTCTACAGCGGTTGTTGATGGACTCTGCTCTTTATTATTTTTGTGGATGATATTGAGCTAGGGCTAGGGAGCAAGGTGCTGAACAGGTGAGCCAATTTAAACTTGATTTGAATAAACTAGTGAACTGGGCTTCTCTGTGGCAAATGCCATTCAATTACGACAAATGTAAGGTGATGCGCTTGGGTAGTTTCAGCAGTGAGGGTATTAGCTATAAAATGCGAGGTCAGGAGCTAGACCAAATCAAGGAAGAACAGGATTTAGGGCTTACAATTTCTAAGGATTTGTAGAGTGAAAGGCAATGTGGGACTGCTAGGAGCAAGGCGCTTCGGATGCTGGGACTTATTAACAGGAACGCCCATTACAAGAATAGCGATGTTGTCAAGAAGTTGTACTTGGCTTATGTCAGACCACGCCAAGAGTATTGTGTACGGGCTTGGTCCGCACGCTTCCAATAGGGTGTAGATAGACTGGCGAAAGAGCACAGGGCGTAGGGTGTAGAAAAATGTGTAGAAGAGCACAGCGGAAAGCAACTAGGATGATGAATGGAATTGGCGACGTGTAATATAGGGATAGGCTTAGGGCCTTGGATTTGTATTCAATGAAATATTGCAAACTTAGAGGGGATCTGATGGAGGTGAACAAGACTATGAAGGGGACTGACAAGGTATATCTACATGGAGCACTGGAAATTAGGCCGAGACATAGAGGAAACCAGTTTCATTTAGCAAAAGGTAGGAATAGAACTATGAAGAGGCAGATGTCATTTAGTGAAAGAGAAGTGAACCATTGGAATAGGCTAACAAACCAAGCTGTGGAAAGTCCCTGTCTAGCAATATTGAAAAACTGCTTCGACAAGTTCTATTGGTCTAAAGATCTCATTTATAGCTAAATTTATGTAGGTCGGGTGATTAGTTTTGAGGATGTGTACGGAACGTGAGGCATGCCAGCCTCGATGGATCCTTGTGCTCCTTGGCTGGCCGGATATCTTTATGCCCTTATGTCTCACAATTATTCGTCTACAAGGTGCACCCAACTACATTGCTTCTCAAGTCTCACATACGAAGAGTTGCAATACGACTGTTTACGTACTGAGATCGTAGAGGCCAGGCCGTGTTTGAGCAGAGGGCTGGCTGCCCACTGTGTTTCGGGTCAATCCGCCGAGTATGATATACAAGCCGGTGCCAATGTCAGGTGAGGAAACACCCGTGCTCTGATCTCCTCACGGATCGCCCGCGACACCTCGTACAATCTGCATACTCATTTCAGCCAGATTGTGCAATCATGATTCCGTGTCGGTGCTGCCAAGGCGGTGATTGAATGCTCACGAGCGGATACGGTATAAAACTGCGAGACTCGGTGGGCCAGGCACAGTTGCTCCAACTAGTCCTCTCGGCAAGCATGAAGATCCTGATTATAGCTGCCCTTGCCTTCGTGGCTGCAGCGGATCGACGTGGCTTTGGTGCCCAGACCCAGCACGGTGCTCCGTCCGGTGCTCAGTCCCAGTACGGTACTCCCTCTGGTGCTCAGTCCCAGTACGGTGCTCCCTCTCGTGCTCAGTCCCAGTACGGTGCTCCCTCTAGTGCCCAGTCTCAGTACGGTGCTCCCTCTGGTGCCCAATCTCAGTACGGTGCTCCCTCTGGTGCTCAGTCCCAGTACGGTGCCTCTTCTGGTTCCCAGTCTCAATATGGGTCGTCATCGGCATCATCAGGCTATGGTCTGCAGTCTCGGAGGAGACCATTTGAATCTAGCCTGAAGCCGACCTACGGTCAGCAGTCCAACGGAGGCTATGGCCAGGAGTCCAGCATTGGAGGCTTTGGTCGACAGTCCAACGAAGGCTACAGCCAGCAGTCCAACGGAGGCTACAGCCAGCAGTCCAACGGAGGTTACAGCCAGCAGTCTGGCGGAGGCTACAGCCAGCATTCCAACGGAGGCTATGGTCAGCAGTCCAACGGAGGTTACAGCCAGCAGTCCAACGGAGGCTACGGACAGACAGAGCCTCCTACGCCCTACTCATTCAGCTACGACGTCCTGGATGTCCGTGGTAACGACTTTGGCGCGGCCGAGGAGTCCAACGGTGAGGAGGTGCAGGGCCAGTACAGCGTCGTGCTGCCCGACGGCCGACTCCAGACCGTCTCCTACTCGATCCAGGGCGACTCTGGCTTTGTGGCCGACGTCGAGTACGAGGGCGAGGCCAAGTTCCTCAACGCCTACGGCGAGGAGGAGGGTCGCAGCAACGTCAAGAGGGGACGTGGCCCGACCGGAGGTCAGGGCTACGGCTCCAGCCAGGGATCGGCGTATGGAAAATAAACGTTGTAATTATATTTTCAGCAACAAGTTGTTGGTCACGTCCGGTCTGTTTTTGTCTCCTGTCCGTGAAGTGCTTTTCTGAGACATTTCGAACTATTTTCCCGGATTTTCAGGGAATTATGAAAGCGTCTTTGTTGCATGTGAACAAATGTAGAAATGTTCAGAAAAGCACATGTCAAATGTCAAATGTAGTGAAAAATCCACGCAGCGTACAGAATAACATATATGTGGAACTTTTGTTGCTATTCTCTGTGCGACTGTTGAATGACAGTGGACGATGCATAATCCGTAAAGGAGACCTAAAACTTTCCAAGTTCTTGGCTACACGCTCACGAAGATTTGCAGGCTATTTCGGGGAGACTATTTTTGGGTCATCTAGGCAAACATGATGCGATAACGCCATTCAAACCCTGGCATGCCATAAGCTATGCCACGATCAAGGCCAACAAAAAGCGATTACCGAGTCGCACGCAGCTGGCGTTCGTGAGCACGCTTTCTAGGCATAGGGGCCGTCAATTGACTCCCAATCAACGTTATGAACGTTCCCCGCGCATGACACGATGAAATAATCAAACAATGACATTTTTAGGAGTACATTTGCTAAACAGAGAAAGCATGTTGTCTAGAAAAATATTTTCCCACTAAAAATATGTAAATAGTGATAAGTGAGCTCATTTCATAAAAGCCGATGCCTGCTTTAATCTTTTCAAATGTGTAACATTCCCTCTCATACTTAATCAAGTAAAATAACGCAAAAAACGGTAGGGTTTTGTACCAAAAAACGGCATGAAAAGCAAAAAACGGCATGGTTTTGCATTTGTGGAGGCATTTGGCTATCAGCTATTTTACAGTTAAGTCAACCGATCTCATGACAACCAAGAACAACTACATTTGCCCACCCTGTATGAACCTAAAGAATTAAAGAAAACAAACCTTACGTTGATATCTGTCATCAAACACACTATCGCGCATGAGAAATATCTTGTAGATTTCGCATGAGATGGAAGAAAATTGATGATGATTACGGCACTTGCATTGCTGTTACATAACATCTCAAGATGTGGTCATCAGGTCTCTGTCTGATCTGTCTACCCCCCCCCTCCCCCCTCCGCCCGCAGCTCCGCCTCTCCTGACGTCCCCGTGGTTGTGATTCCATCTCTCCGGACGTCTCATGGTGCTGTTATTTTGTTCTTCCAGACGCCTCCTGGCGCTGTTATTCTTTTCCTCCGGACGTCTCCTGGCGCTGTTATTCCTTTTCCTCCGGACGCCTCCTGGCGCTGTTATCCTTTTCCTCCGGACGTCTCCTGGCGCTGTTATTCCTTTTCCTCCGGACGTCTCCTGGCGCTGTTATTCCTTTCCTCCGGACGCCTCCTGGCGCTGTTATTCCTTCCCTCCGTACGTCTCATGACGCTGTTATTCCCTCCCTCCGGACGCCTCCTGGCGCTGTTATTGCTTCCCTCCGGACGTCTCCTGGCGCTGTTATTCCTTTTCCTCCGGACGCCTCCTGGCGCTGTTATTGCTTCCCTCCGGACGCCTCCTGGCGCTGTTATTGCTTCCCTCCGGACGTCTCCTGGCGCTGTTATTCCTTTTCCTCCGGACGCCTCCTGGCGCTGTTTATTGCTTCCCTCCGGACGTCTCCTGCGCTGTTATTCTTTTCCTCCGGACGTCTCCCTGGCGCTGTTATTCCTTTTCCTCGCTCCTGACGTCTCCTGGCGCTGTTATTCCTTTTCCTCCGGACGCCTCCTGGCGCTGTTATTGCTTCCCTCCGGACGTCTCCTGGCGCTGTTATTCTTTTCCTCCGGACGTCTCCTGGCGCTGTTATTCCTTTCCTCCGGACGCCTCCTGGCGCTGTTATTCCTTCCCTCCGTACGTCTCATGACGCTGTTATTCCCTCCCTCCGGACGCCTCCTGGCGCTGTTATTGCTTCCCTCCGGACGTCTCCTGGCGCTGTTATTCCTTTTCCTCCGGACGCCTCCTGGCGCTGTTATTGCTTCCCTCCGGACGTCTCCTGGCGCTGTTATCCTTTTCCTCCGCACGTCTCCTCGCGCTATTATCCCATTCCTCCGGACGTTGCCTAGCGCTGTTACCCGTTTCCCCCGACGTCGCCTAACGCTGTTACCCGTTTCCTCCGGACGTTGCGTAGCGCTGTTGCCCGTTGCCTCCGGACACCGCACGTTCCACCCGCTGCTCAGGCGTTAGTCGGCGCGTCTCGGCCGCGGAGCCCGGTCGCTCACCCCGCGCGCGGCGCCTGCGGGCCCGCGAGGCTGCAAATGCAGACCCGGCGCCGCGCCGGCCCGGCCGGCCGGCCACAGTCGCAGCAGCAGCCAGCCGCGCCGTACGGACCGCCTCAGCTAAGGTCAGACGACACCAGCAGGCCGGCTCTGCGAGCTGTCGTACCCTTGTACGCCATTCGTGTATTTTGTGCTACGCGTATTGATTCGATTTCAGCTTACACTTTCATACTTGGCTGAATTTCCGCTGTTGGAACCTTGCATCTTGCGCACATCTCCAAGCTACCTTCAGTTATTTTGCTCGTTCACCAAGATATTACAACCTGGAACTACGCACATCTTAAAACAAAATAACGTGTAGACTTAAAGGCGTTGAGGGAGTACAAACAAAACGTTCCAATGCTGGACGAACAACCTCCCTTTGCATTTTAATGCACCATGCCAATTTCACTCGCTTATACATCGGCCAATGTTTACTAATCAACAGAAAATATACTGCCCTGACGCATCTCCTGCACTCCTGCTTGAGTGCGGACAGAGTGGCTGCTCCTGACGGTCAGTCCGCGGCGAAATCTCTCCGGCAAGGGGCGGCGCACGGACCACAAAACCAGTCGCAAGAAAACCCTGCTTCGCATGCGGGTCCCAGTCGGGCACGTGGTAGCTGCTCTGGGGCCGGGCGCCGTCTGACTACGCGGCGATGTTACCCGTAAAGACTGCTAAAAACGACCGCCTTCATGGTCAAGGTGAAATATTCTAGTTCCGTGGTCCGTCGCCACTGGGTACGATTCGAAGAGCGGGCGAATCTTTTGGCCCGACTGACTGGAAAGCTCATGAGACATTGCAAAATGCCCAAGGGCAGCTGTGGCGAAGAAACCCGCGACAGTTGTCTGGGTCCTGTTAATTTTTTGTCACATCACCGAGAGAAGACGCTTAAATCGATAACGATAGCATCAACCCTCCGTTTACGGGCAAGTGAGGAACTTGGTCTTTATGTCCTCTCCCACCTTACTAAGTGCGGTTAAATGCCTTTTATGCTACCACGACCAGAAGCTGTTAAGGCTCTTGTATAAATTTTAGGCGTTCGCATGCAGTTTTGAGATAAATGAGCTGCAAATATGCGCTTTGCGACGAAATCAGGCTTGTTATGTACTGATGTATTTACAGAATGAACTGTAGAACTTAGAACTGTGTCGTATTTCGTGCATTTTGAAAATAGCAATAATTTCGTCAAGAAGGTAATCTTAGGTTATATAGCATGCAGCAGATAATGCCATCTGTCGCTCGTTCTCGCCGTCCCTCGTGACAACGAGTTTTAATCGCTTTCGAGAAGAAGGAGCTGATATAGAATTGCTGAAATAGATGGTGATATTTATCGATTAGATTTGAACTTTTATGCATTATTGTGAACCTTTTCATGAAGGTTGTGGATATCCTGAACTTTCAGCGCTATGTCGTACACATTTCAGGTGGCAAGTTTGCGACCAAGTTATCATTTAATTTCGATTGAATGAGATGAAAACGGCCATTTACTCGTGTATGATAGTCCAAACGCCTTTGGTCGTAGACTGATACGAAATGATGCATCATCTCACATGATGCATGATCGCATCATTTCGCTTGCTGCTGCTCCTGCTGCTGTTGCTGCTGATGATCGCGTGATGATACTTACTCTTAAATGATGCACGATTATAATGGGTTTATGGAGTTCAGAGTTGATGGAAATAAGCCGAGTACGTACTCTCACCTTGCGCTCTACTGGTGATGTCTTCGGCAGTTAGGTGCTTGAAAAATTCTGTTGAAGTCCCTGGTAGCTTTCGTTTGTGACTATTGTGTGACATTACCGAGCGCCTTCATGTTACGTACCGGGCTCACACGTACTCGCTTGGTTCATCCATGGCACAGCTCTCGCACATACATCTCTCGCACACATCATGGTGGTTCCCCCTCATTGAAAGGTGGTGCTGGACGAAGGCGATGCAGACAAATCGTTGTATAACCGGGCGGACTCATTTACACACGGAGAATATGCCCTTGTCGAAACAGTGATGTGTTTTAACCTGAAGAAATCAGACGCTGTCAGAATGCTGCTATTTTGTTGTGTGCTATTTTGCAAAATAAAATAGTATTATCCTGAAAGGCCGTTCTCTCACATTTAACACGCGCTCGAGTGGGGGGGGGGGGGAGTCAAAGTGACCCCCCTCCCCGAAGGTTTTTCCACAATGCTTTCTGAACGGCACGGCGTGGCCGCGCCACATTTTTTGCACAGCTGTAGACAACTGAATAGACGATCGTCTGGCATAGGTAATTTATATTTACCTTGTAAGGTCGCTGACCTATGGCAGGTCAAAATCAGGCTCTGGTTTCAGCGAAGACAATTTCAAGGTATTCACTCAATCTGATCCAACAACGGAGTGTTAGACAAAGCCATACATCTCTGAGATACTTTTTAGGCAACACAACAATTGAAAAAACAAATGACATTGACCTAGGGTCAGGCATGGAGGTCAGGGCAAGGTCAAAACCAAACTGTTTATGGCTCTAGGGTATTTTATTACTGTGTGGGGTAGTTTCTGGTGCTCATTTCGAATTTATTGGTAACAGAGACTGCATTATACACCTTTCATGAACTTCTTTAAGGTCAGAGCAGGTCGCTGACCCAAAATGACCCAGGTCAACGCTTTGTTTTTTTTAGGAAGATACTGCCTATCGTAACCTTTGTCGCTTTTTCAAATGGAAAACTCAAAGCCGTTTTGCATGATTTAAATCGCTATGACCTTTGAAATGCCGAGCCAGTTCACCGACCTGAACTGAGCATGTGACTTTGCTAAGAACAGTTATCTAAGTTCTCGGGGCCTTTGGAGACCATCCTAAAATTTGACCTTGTCGGACCATATTTGGCCCAAAGATCATGATCTAGGAACCTCAAACTTTGATCTGAGTTCATGTACAGTTCAACGCACCCTGTGAGATTGGTGGCTCTATATCTCTCAGCTGCTGAGATCTCAGGAGGCCAAATTGACCCCCCCCCCCCCACACCCCACCAGAGCCAAGGGTATCCGGCAGGCCACCCAGGCGCGTGGTAAATGGTACGTTTAATTATTGGGTAATGAGCGTTGGTGATGTGACACATTTCCTGTCACACAAGTTGCATTTTGAATGCGAAGGAAGATCCAATCTACTGATACACTACCAAATAATCCGAACAAACAACATCTAACGCGCCGCTTTTGCCAGAGGTGTCTTTATTCGCTTCGCTCCGCATGTCACAGAGAGGTGTCACCATTCGTGAAAACTCCCGCAAATGTCGCTAACTTGACGGTGAGTTTTAAAACTGAGCCACAACCTACCCAGCGTCATCTGCTGCGATTTCAGGACATTATGTCTCGCCGTGGAGGTGACACTGTCTGGCGCTGCCCGACGAGCAAGGCGATCTTCTGCTGTCTTCTCGTTGTGGCGATAGTCCTGGTCGCCGCTCTCTGGCTCCAATACCGTGGTAAGTCCGTGCGGCACAGCCCAGCTCGTAGCTCACTCCAGAGCCCCGTCAGAGCTGAGAACCGAGGCGGGGCCGACCCCGGACCGAGAGCTCAGTCCACAGATTCGAGAAAGTCAGATCTGATAACGGAGCCGGGGTCGACAACACACCGGGAGCTCAATCCAGAGCCTCGTGAGAGTCAGAGCTAAGAACGGAGCCGGGGTCGACCCCACACCGGGAGCTCAATCCAGAGCCTCGTGAGAGTCAGAGCTGAGAACGGAGCCGGGGTCGACCTCGGATCGGAGGCTCAGTCCAGAGCTCCGTCAGGGCTGAGAGCGGAGCCGGGTCGAATCCGGACCGGGAACTCATCCCAGAGCTTCGACAGAGCCGAGAGCGGAGCCGGGATCGATCTCAGACCGGGAGCTCAGCCCAGAGCTTCGGCGGAGCTGAGAGCAAAGCCGAGGTCGACCTCGGACCGGGAGCTCAGCCCAGAGCTTCGACAGAGCTGAGAAAAGAGCCGGGGTCGACCTCGGGCTACAAGCTCGGTTCATGGGTTGGGTCAGCCGGCGCTCGTGGTCCGGGTCAAGCGAAGGCATTCGCTTGTCAAGGCCTCTGGCTCATCCATGCTGCAAGATGCTTAAAAGGACCAGGCCAGCGAGAACGACGTGGTCCAGTGACTGGCAGTGGCTGTGGCATGGTCAGGGGAGGGATATAGGTCAAAAAGTTTTCACTCTGGAATAATTACAGGGGGCAGTCAGTGACATGATCCGACAGAAGTTTTGAACTTGCGGAAGTCATTCTGAGCCCTTGTTTCTAAGCATGTAATCTAGCACGAGGTAGATGAGGCGAGGAAAAAAGTACTACATGCGCCGGTGTGCTGCACAGCCATCTGATAGATCCATTGGTAGCAGGCACAAAAGCCCTGGATAGTGTGCTCTGGGACTGCTCGCTGCCTCTCATCGCGGCACGCAATCGCCTCCGCAGGCGGGCAGGGGATGCCCGGGCGACCGGCGGGGCTCCCGGCCGAAGACGGCCTGCAGGCGTGCGACTGCGTCTGGCGCATCGGCTGCCCGCGCTTCGACTGGCAGGTCAACCTGACCACGCCAGGCCACACCTGCGGCTTCGAGAACATGACGAGCAGGTGCGCTCGCCGGTGTGTTACGTGTGTTTAAGTACAGGATGTGCAGAGGAACACGGGATCCGGTAGTCCTGCCCCAAACCGAAGTGACGTGTAGATCTCACGTCACCTCGCCGGTGTCACGTGTGTGTAGGAACATGAGACGCAGACGAGCACGAGGCCCGGTAGTCCTGCCGCGGGCGGGCGCGACTGGACAGATGTGACGTCATCATGCCGATGTCAGGCGACTTGGTCTGGGCGCAGGATTGTCACGGCTGCGCGGACAGCAACATATCGTATCGCATCGTGCTCTCCTCCAGCCCCCGCTCGTTCAGCCGATGCCTCCATCACCGCTGCAGCCGGGCAAAGCAGCGTTGTTCCGTCTGTATTGTCGCGCTGACACCTCGGACGCCGCTCCAGCCTGGTGGATGAGTGCCTGGCGGGCCGGTGGCGGCAGCGCGGCCGCCCCCTCCGGCTACGACTGGTCGGCCACGTGCGCGAGGCATACCTGGCTGAGTATGTGCGCCGCCGGCTTGGCGCCACGCCCGTCAGAGAGGGCTGCCGCCTGGATAGCGCCGGGCCCGCCGCCAAGGGCGTCGACGGCGTACCGGAACTGCATAACGTCGTCCGGCCGCTAGATGGCAGTGAAACGTGCGAGATGGTCTACGCGACAGACGTCATACGACTGGTGAGGGAGCGTGGTGATGCAGGCCTGACGAGTGAGGGATCATAGACATGCCGCACTCAGACTATATGTATCTATATATATATATATATATATATATATATATATATATATATATATATATCTCTCTCTCTCTCTCTCTCTCTCTCTTCTATCTCTCTCTCTCTCTCTCTCTTCTCTCTCTCTCTCTCTCTCTCTCTCTCTCTCTCTCTCCTCTCTCTCCTTTCTCCTCCTCTCGTCTCTCTCTTCTCTCTCTCTCTCTCTCCTCTCTCTCTCGTCTCTCTTTCCATCACGCATTTGACGTATGTGTGTCGGCGCAGTGCGTCCGCCTCAGAGCAACTACCTCTCGTGTCTCTCCGTCCCAGAGCAACTGTCTCTCGTGACCTCTCCGCCGCAGAGCAACTGTCTCCCGTATCTCTTCCTCTTCAAAGGAGCTATCTCCAGCCCCAGGGCAGCTGTCTCTCGGCTCGCTCAGGTTCACGCTCCTTACACGATAATCGCCTCCCGTCTGTACTCGCCTTAGAGCGTCAGTCTCCGCACCAAGACGGCTGCCCCCCCCCCTCCCCCCGTTGTCCCTGAGGGTCAGACTATGTCTTGATCGCTCATACGTCAGACTATGTCCGGACCCCTCACGCGTCAGACTATGTCCGGATCCCTCACTCGTCAGACCATGTCCGGATCCCTCACGCGTCAGACTATGTCCGGATCCCTCACTCGTCAGACCGTGTCCGGATCCCTCACGCGTCAAACCATGTCCGGATGCCTCACTCGTCAGACCGTGTCCGGATCCCTCACGCGTCAAACCATGTCCGGATGCCTCACTCGTCAGGCCATGTCCGGATCTGTCCGGCGCGGCCCCGACCGCGCGTCTGGACAAGCGTCCCTTCTCGGGGCTCGTGGAGGCGTTGTCCCGCCGATGTGCGACTACCCGTGACTGCTCGACACGGTCAAACGCGCCCGAGACGGGAACACTTCAGGATACGAAAGGTCACACTATGATTGCGCACTCAAGAAATGATCGGTGATCAGTCAATGATATGATCGTGCACATGGGCGGCCAGCGCCCTCCAGTCCCTTCGTTGCAATATGAAGTTGTTCGCTGCCCCTGCGTGCTGGCCTAGGTCGCTGGCAGCCTGCCAGGTCTCCACGGACGGCCGCAGGTGGAGACCTGCACCGGCGGATGTCTGGTGAGCTGACCAGATCTGGCTTTCCTCAGGAGTACAAGCTGCTCGGTCTGCTGGGTGACGACATATTCAGCTACATTGGCCGCCTGAAGCGGGAGTGTGTGGAAGAAGGCTGCGACGGTGACCTGCTCATCATCTCGGGTGGTGTAGCGGAGCTGCTCAACTCCACACTTATGGAGAGCTTCTCCGGTGTCAGGTGCGCACTGGAGCCCGTCCGGAAACGGCGGCATGTGCCGGGGCAGTCAGGTGTGGACTGGGCCCCGTCTAGAGCCGCTGAACGGCGGGGTGGGCCGGGGCAGTCAGGTGTGGACTGGGCCCCGTCTAGAGCCGGTGAACGGCGGCATGGGCCGGGGCAGTCAGGTGTGGACTGGGCCCCGTCTAGAGCCGCTGAACGGCGGGGTGGGCTGGAGCAGCACGTGCGGACCGTGTCCCGCTCGGAACTGGGAAACGTGACCCCGGATCATAGCCGAGAAACACCGCGGGTAGTGTGTGTGTATCGCTGGAAGACGCTATTGCTCGTCAGCGGATCAGGTTCCCTGATGTTGATGCATATCAATCCAATGGCGCACAAGGTTCATAGCCTACGGCATAGCGCGCATCGTGGCGGTGGCGGGTTGATGTTGTCTTCTTTTGCAACGGCTATGAAATATTACGGCTGGCAAGTGGCAACGTTCTGAAAACATAGCACCTCTGAAACATATGCCAGCTGAAATAGGCGACAAGCAGGCGCGTAAGCGCATCGAAGCACTCGCTTCACTCTGCTCCGTCCGCCGCGTGACAGGCGGTTCCAGTCGCACTTCAAGCGGTTGCTGCCCCTGCTGAACGAGCTGGTCACCTTGCACCACCTGAAAGTGGTGTGGAAAATCCACGAGCCGGTAACCGACGAACTGATTGCTGAAGACTCCATGGTGCGGAACGACTTGCTGCAGGAGTACAACGCGCTCATCATGGAGCAGACGTGAGTAGTACATCACGTCACAGTAGTACAACTTACTCAGCATGGAGCAGGCGTGAGAAGTACATCACGTCACAGGAGCACAACTCACCCATCATGGAGCAGACGTGAGTAGTACATCACGTCACAGGAGCACAAATCACCCACCATGGAGCAGACGTGAGTAGTACATCACGTCACAGGAGCACAAATCGCCCACCATGGAGCAGACGTGAGTAGTACATCACGTCACAGGAGCACAACTCACCCATCATGCAGCAGATGTGAGCAGTGCACCACACGGCGGGAGTACGACGCACTCGGTCCGAATGTAAATTTCAACAGCTTCTTCAGAATAACCAATTGTGTACGCCATTAGACAAAGAGAGTGAAGCAACAACTCAAACAACACACAGATTAGAAAACTGAGCACATCTAAACTCACTGCATTCCTGTATGCAGTTTACCGTTGGCGCCAGTGCACTTGACACACGTGCTCCAACCATAATCCTTGCGGCAGGGTGAGGAGTCCAGCGCACACCTCGGTACGGTGATACAATGTGCCGGCTTTAACGCCGGTACACTGCACAGTGCACATACGTGTGTTAGTCCTGGCGTCGGCGGCAGGGTGCCGAGTCCAGCGTTTGTGTCAGCCTCATGGTTTTGGCGACAGGGTACGGAGTCCGGTGCGCGCGTGGACGTCGCATATGCTGATGAAGCTGCGCCACATCGAGGAGTGCGCCCCGTTCGCCGACGACTCGCAGGTCAACTCTGACGAATGGCGGTGTGAGGACCAGTGGGTGGCTGGCGACCGCTGCCACAGACGGTACTTCGACGCCATCTTCAACAGACTCTGCGAAAAAATGGTTAAGATGCCGGAGAACCCCTGCTGCAGCGCCTGAAATGGACAGGGCAGAGGCGACTCCACTTTGATGAAGTGAGCATCGAGTTCTGTGGCCGCTGCAAGCGGGATGCGGCCAGAAGTGGCGACCGCAGGGAGGAGCGGTAGGGAGGCGTCTGGATTTGCGGTAGATATTGTCTCAACCTCGCGTCGTACGGATTCATAGATAAGACAGTAGTATTAACCTTATTCCTCGGGAAGGCCAGAAGAATAGAGATATAGTTAGGTTGATATTTCGGCATCATGCCTTTCTCGAAACCATAGCAGAAGTGAATTACTGATATAGTTGACTCACATTTTATATGACTTCTGCTATTGTTTCGAGAAAGGCATGTTGCCGAAATATCAACCTAGCTATACTCTATTCTCTTGTTTTTTTCCGAGGAATAAGGCTAATACTACTGTCTTATCTATGTGACTAATGTTTCTCGCTAATGCACTGAACAGCTTTGGTACAGATTCACTCGGCTTTTGCTATTGTCGGGCTCAATATGTCTTTGGCCATTGTAGTCAATAAGATGTGAGGCTAGAAAAGTTTTCTCGGTTGCCAGATTACAGAATTATGGCGAATATTGTCCTGGTAAATAATTGAGCCCAATCCTCACGGGATGAGGCTACAGCTTCATAAAGGCCTCGTCCTTGGCTACGCTCCTGAATGCTCACGATTAGGTCAGTGTAGATCTGTTTTATACACATTTTATACGACACGCGACAACATGCACAAATAACTCTCTTTAGATATGGAAAAGTTATAGGTTATGGCCACCGAGCACAAAGAGCTTGCACTGACGATATATTGAAGCAACATTTACCAAAATGGAGCGTAAAAGCAGATGAATATTTTATCTGTGTTCGTCCATGGTAGATCGGGTAACCTATGTAAGACGGTCAGGGTGGTATGTAAGTGTTGTCATTGATCACAAATGTAAGATCACCGAGGAACCAATTGGTCGGTTGTTGTATCACGGAAATATGGGATATTACGAATCAAATGGTCTTATGTTGAGTTAGCGACCTTCAGTACACCTGAAGGTACTCGCTAAACGAAGCTGCAATGCTGAATAACGATTAAATTGACATTATCCAATATTTTGAGCTGTGTCAACCCTAACGAGTAACCAAGGCAACTCATTCTAGGTAACGCTCTCCGGACCATTTAACTCACGCAGTTGAAGGGCGGGGCAGAGTCCACCCCCTCGTGTACCTGCAAATGAAACCCCAGCGCGTCGTTTATAAGCAAAGAAGAGAGTTGACCGGAAAATGTAAAGTTACGGACTGCCAAAGCCACAACTCAGCCGGTGTCTGAGCGTTTGAGACGTGCTGTAATGTGTTATAACGTTAATAAGGTCCCGCTGAGTCACCGGAAGTAATTTCAGGTCGAGTTCGGGTTAGGTCAGTGGGATCAATCTAGGTCAACCTCATGGTTGTTGCAAGAATGGATGCTGATAAGTCAATCATGTCGCTTTGCCGAGTTGTTCCCAGACGTACTGGCAGCTCGTGTCTTTCGCTCCCGTGGAGCAAAGCATTTGTATATTTCATTCATTGCTCCTCGTGCACTCCAGCGGATTCTTCAGAAAGTCGACTGCGCCCGGCTGGTCAGCCCGTCGGCCGACAGACCGTTCCAATCTGTAGCCACGGTAAGGGCAATGCTGCATTTTGATTGCATCTCATTTGACCGTGAAAATGTAAGCCTAAGGTCATGTTTTTCCACAACACGGTTTTTTTCTAATCGGACTCATTCGGCCAGTCCAGGCCAGCCTATCGTTCCACTGCAACAGCCAGCAAAGATATTAATGAGACATCTCCAGGAATTACGATAAGCAAAGGACTAGTTCATGTCTGTTTTGATGAAATGATGATCCTGGCGGGACATCACAATGTGGCATGCGCAAAATTGTTTCAATCTCAACCATTTTTTTAAGGAGCATGGTCCAGTGTGTCATGAAATGAAAGATGGTGCGAAAATCGTCCTTTTGGAAACGCCGCTTCATTGGATTCTTATTTTTTGTGGTGAGAATACCTGTTTTGCCAATCAAACCTTGCGGATCGAAGGAACTGTTTATAGAAATACATCAGAAGGTTGTGTGCAGCGTTCATTCAGAAGTCCAGGTGACAGCGGCTTTGGTTCATACTTCACTATGGTGTAAGGATTTTTGAGTGGGGCAGAAAATGTTCCCGCACTCGGCGGGGTGATAGATATTGGAACCCTTCATGATATGGCCGGTCCCAAATATGGATTCACGTATGGTATTCCAAAATTCCGGTTTCCCTTCGGACTTGTGCCACTTTATTTCGCGGTAAGATGAAAAGCCACTATTGTAGCCATCGTAATCGTAGCAATGACAGCCTATGTAAAAAACTACACCGTCATCAACATAACACAAGCATAAAAATAAGACACATTGTTCTGTCATGTTAATATCAGGACAGCAACCTCGTCATGATTTTCTGATGCAGAAATATAAAATGAAATAGTATTGCCGTAGCAAACGACAATTCTTTATTTAATAGTCTGTGTCTGCTCCGCGACCATTTCTTTTTTAAAGGGAGTGTGTCTAATGCATTCGGTCTTCTCGGTGCACGCCGAGGGGAGTTTGGAAATTATCTACGGTTAGTTTGGGTTGTAAAATGTGCATTTGGGTCTTGCAAGCGATTGATTTATTTATTTTTATCGATCCCATCGGTGGTTCTGCGTGAACAAATACAATCCTAAAGATAAGCCAATCAATGGGTAGGAAAGGACAAATGCACTGGCTTATATGTTGCGAATAACCGCGCGAGGGACATGGCCATTGTTCTGGTTGCTAAATGACGTAGAACAATCACATTTCCCCAAGAGCCTGTTGCAGCCGATTGACACGACACACAATTTGTTCTTCATCTCAGTATATAGTTGGCCGACATGAAATGGTGCGTATCAACTAACCAGCACCACCATTGTCTAAACCCGTTACACTCCTAGCCCTCAGCTGAATGTAAGCAGCAAAAAAGGGAATATCCAACATAATGGCCGCCGCCACCGCCGTGTTCGCGAGCTACTGTCAGCGCTGACAAGCGGCACCCTCAAAACCCATTGGCTATTTTGGCATTGACATTGGCTAACAATACCTTCTCAATGATGTGGATGTGTTAAGTAGTGAATATTTATTGGTGGCTACCCCATAACTTCGTTCTTCTATATAAGCCAAAGAAAATTTGAGGGCTGTTGCAATATTTCGTTAGTGAAGGCAAATTTATAGAAACAGATGACACCAAAATTTGTAAATGGAGATTCCCACACCCCCTTTAACATACGTCGTCATCCCCCTTTTCATGGAATACCAGCGACTGCATTGGGCATATCAGTGCTCAAAGGCCGTGGCAAAGCCGGGACTCGAACCCAGGCCCCCATGGGGAGTCCGACGCATTAATCACTCGGCCAGTGCGCGATCGCGGCTGTTTATTAAATATCTTCGGAAGGAGGGACCAATCATCAGCTGACACGACTTTTTCTCATCAAACCGGAGCACATCCCCTGCAGAGTGACAAAGGTCCAGAAAGGTTCAGCAAAATATCATACTTGGAAAAGAAGACACGTGCAGCCAGAAAATGTGCCCAATCCTCGCAGACACCGCACTGAAAGATGTCAAAACAACAAATCATCCAAGCTCACGACACCCCGTGAAAAGTTCAGCGAAAAAGGCTGCAAAACGAACATGGTCTGAACCTCAGGAACGTGATTAGCCTAAAACTGTTGCTTTAACAACAGCCCTGCTGCGTGTCGATCTGCCAGGCGTGCTGGTGGTGTGAACGCTCTACGTAAACGTGCGTCTCCAAGGTGTTCATTAAACCGGTCACGAATCGTACGCTTTGTTTGTTCTTTCGCGTGCATTTTCCTTCAGCCCGTTTACATTTGTTTGGCCAAACCTTCCCCCAGCTACAGTGGGTCTCTAATGCTGATCGTACTACCATGGAGCTTAAACTGGGACCACTTCGTCCACGCTCTCTTAAACGGCGGCATTCGCTTGTTTATACAGTTCGTCGTCTATAAATGGAGCGTTCACATAAACACAAGCTGTTTGCTTCGCAACTTTACAGCTTCTATGTGCAACTGCTTTTACGTTAAATCGGAATCCTCTCGACTTTAATCGCTGCTAACCACAGAAGCAGACACATTCTTAACCAATATGTGCTTCTCATCTTATTGAATCCTACCCCATCGCCTGTCTTCCGTCATTTGTTTTCCTATGTTCTGTCCTTCGTATTTTCCGCTGTTTCGCCTTGTCTTTTTGTATTTCCAGTTCGTTTCTGCCCGACAAGCCGCTTGGGCGGCTCTTCTGCCTCTTATTTCTCGTCCTTCTACAGTTGCGTGACCCCCGCACGACTAGTACACGGCACGGAAGCAGAATTAGCGAAAGAAGCGGAATTAGTAAATCAGTTTTTCAGGAATATTATGCACGACGTGTGGACCGCTGCACACAGAAGAGCCTCCCTGACATCTGCTTGCCAATGGCATTCTGTTTGAGATACAGCCGTGGTAAGTTTCCTTTGGGCTATAGCAGTTGAAAGAAAATATGACTGCGCCCATTGGACAACTTCCAGTACGTCCACTTAAAGGAATTTTCTGTAGAACTGGCAGTACCACTTACTCATTATTTTAACCGGTCATTGCGTGAAGGTTGCGTGCCATGGGTGTGGATGAGAACTACAATCAGCCCTGTGCCTAAGAAAACATCGCCCAAGTCGCCGGGAAAAGTGCGACCCGTGAGCGTCACACCGACTTTCAGCTAGGTTTTGGAGAAAGTTATTGTTCCACAAATTCTGGCGGACATAAAACCAAGCATAGACAAGCGTCAATGCAGAAATATGAAAGGTGCTTCAACCTCACGCCATTCTGTTAAGCTGTTGCATGGTTTGCTGACGGAGCTAGACGAATCAGGTAAATTATTTTCCGCGGTTATGTACAATTTTAAGAATGGATTTTACCTCATTGATCGCACGATTATCCAGAACACGCTTGCAATGGGACATCGCTTCGGGTATGCAAAATGGCAAGGTTCATTTGTGCGGGAACGACAGCAACGAGTCAAGATGCCAGCTGGAACCATGAGTCGTTGGAGAACGATAGCTTGTGGCACTCCATAAGACACCCTAATTCGCCCGGTCGCTTTCCCTGCTATGGTTATCGGTACCGTTACTGACATTGAGAACCGACTGAAGTATGTAGATGGTCTTACGATATAGACGGCGTCTCGAATGGACCGAGTAGATCAGCACTGCCAGCTGCAAGAACACATCGACAAGAGAAGTGATTGGGCAACAGCAAACAAGATGACATTAAACACTGATAAGTGTCAAGTCATGCATTTTTTCACATCTAAGAAACCATCAGCACTACGGACGTCATGATTCAAGGAAAAAGCCTGCCAACCGCCATCAAAACTAAGCTTTCAGGTGTAACAATATCAAATGGCATGTCATGGCAAGCACATGTGGATGAGATTGTAAGTAAAGCACCGAAAGCTCTATGTATGTTCTACGGAATGAAGAAGTACCATCCACCACAGGAGCAGCTTGTTCGGGTGCATGTCACTTGCATTCGACCAGTGCTAGAATATCGTGCGCCGGTTTTCACGCGGAACTCAGTGCCAAACAGGCGCAACATCTTGAGTAAGTGCAGAAGAGAGCATTGAAAAACATCTTCGGCCGTATGTAAAAGTATTCACACATCTCGCAACGTTTGGGCATGGAAACCCTCGCTGACAGAAGAGAAAAACTACGTCTATGTCTTGGAAAACAAATACAAGCGTCTCACACGCATAGAGATATGCTGCCGAAGCAGCGAGTGGCGATCTCGGGCAGAAATACCCGGAGCGCAAACACACTTCTAACGTTTTGCCGTGGTATACGAATACGCAGATCAAGTATCTCCCATGTAACCACTCTCATTAACACAGATGTATTATCAACTGGGCAGTATTCTACTTCGACTGGGCTTGGGGGCAAATAGTATTCACTGCGTTGATCGGTACACACCCATAGTGAATTTTCGTTGGAGGGTACTGTGCATATGTGCTACATGAGTTGATACTTGATGCCATGCTTTTCTTAATAAATCGTCTCTCTCTCTCTCTCTCTCTCTCTCTCTCTCTCTCTCTCTCTCTCTCTCTCTCTCTCTCTCTCTCTCTCTCTCTCTCTCTCTCTCTCTCTCTCTCTCTCTCTCTCTCTCTCTCTCTCTCTCTCTCTCTCTCTCTCTCTCTCTCTCTCTCTCTCTCTCTCTCTCTCTCTCTCTCTCTCTCTCTCTCTCTCTCTCTCTCTCTCTCTCTTCTCTCTCTCTCTCTCTCTCGCTCTCTCTCTCTCGCTCTCTCTCTCTCTCTCTCTCTCGCTCTCTCTCTCTCGCTCTCTCTCTCGCTCTCTCTCTCTCTCTCTCGCTCTCTCTCTCTCTCTCTCTCTCTCGCTCTCTCCTCTCTCTCTCTCTCTCTCTCTCTCTCTCTCTCTCTCTCTCTCTCTCTCTCTCTCTCTCTCTCTCTCTCTCTCTCTCCTCTCTCTCTCTCTCTCTCTCTCTCTCTCTCTCTTTCACGCTTGAACGTTGTGTCGGCGCAGTGCGTCCGCCTCAGAGCAACTACCTCTCGTGTCTCTCCGTCCCAGAGCAACTGTCTCTCGAGACTCTCCGCCGCAGAGCAACTGTCTCCCGTATCTCTTCTCTTCAAAGGAGCTATCTCCAGCCCCAGGGCAGCTGTCTCTCGGCTCGCTCAGGTTCACGCTCCTTACACGATGATCGCCTCCCGTCTGTACTCGCCTTAGAGCGTCAGTCTCCGCACCAAGACGGCTGCCCCCCCCCCTCCCCCCGTTGTCGCCGCTCGTCCGTCTCCGTCTTGACCGGCCGCCGCCGCCTCATCGTCGAGCGTTTGCAGGCGCTCGGCGGCCCGGCCAGCCCATTCGGCAGCCGCCGCCGACCGAGCGCCGCGCTCCGGCGCCGCTTATCGCCGACGACGACGACCGCCGCGGCGGCGACGACCACCGTCATCGGCGTTTGGCCACGATTGTACGGCGCCGCACGCTCCGACCGGCTGGCCGGCGCACCGGCCGCCGCCGAAATCCACGCCAAAGTAGATTAGCCGCTCGTCGGCCACGTTTGATGGCCGCCGCCTTCGGAATGCCGATGCGGGCGATTGCGGCGGAGGCGGTGTGGATGGGGGCACGAGGGAGGGGGTGGTGGGCGCTGTGGATGGGGGGCTCGAGGGAGGGGATGGTGGGCGCTGTGGATGGGGGCTCGAGGGAGGGGATGGTGGGTGCTGTGGATGGGGGTCGAAGGTGTGGATGGTGGGCGCTGTGGATGGGGGCTTGAGGGTGGGGATGGTGGGCGCTGTGGATGGGGGCTCGAGTGTGGGGATGGTGGGCGCTGTGGATGGGGGCTCGAGGGTGGGGATGGTGGGCGCTGTGGATGGGGGCTCGAGGGTGGGGATGGTGGGCGCTGTGGATGCGGCTCGAGGGTAGGGATGGTGGGGGCTGTGGATGGGGGTCGAGGGTGGGGATGACGGACGGTGTGGATAGGGGCTGGAGGGTGAGGATGGCAGGCGCCGTGGATGTGGCTCGAGGGTGCGGATGGCGGCGCCGTGGATGTGGCTCGAGGGTGAGGATGGCAGGCGCCATGGATGTGACCCGAGGGTGAGGATGGCAGGCGCCGTGGATGTGGCTTGCGGGTGAAGATGGCGTACGTTGTGGCGCAGTTGGTGGCATGCCCCTCTGGGATCGTGCACTGAGTCGTTGACTGGGTTGAAGTTTGGCGGCCTTGTCTCCTCCGTGGCAACCGGCGACAGAGGCAGCTCTGAACAGCATGTAGATCGATTGCCTGTTGAGGTGGTGCACAGGCCGTGTTGAGCGCGGCACAACACAACATGTGGTGCAAAAATTGGACTTCAAGGCCATGCAACTGCATTCTTCCATAATTCCTGCGTTGTGTTGATGGGCTTATTCATAGAGCTTTTGTTAATCATGAACGTCCTGCTATTGTTTTTGAGAGGCCTGGTGCTTAAAAGGACAGCTGTCGCATTATGCTAGAGCACGATGAAGAATCACAACCTTACGTTGTTATCCACAAAACGAAGTTAAGGTAAAGTCACCCGTGAAAATCAATATGATGTATCTTAAATATTTCCCTATATAAGGTGGGACATTGGTCAAACAGTACGTTTCCCAAGGCACTTAGCACTCTTGTCTTTGTGTCTCATATTTTCGAGTCCTCTTTCTCTCTCATCTACTTTCCCATGTGCAGCACTTTCCAGCCGTATCTAAGCTGACAAATCCCCAAGAAAAACGACCAGACTACAGGTTGTAACTGTATTACTCGCTGCCAAAATGCGGTATACCGTATCGTGTTATTTGTGTTCACAGACAGTCCGAGCCCTATACAGCACAAGTATATTTCATTTCAGCTTTCTGGACAATAAATACCGACGTTGAACACACCTTTTATTGTCATGCCGTTATTCAAGATAGCCACCTGCGAGTCGCTGTTTGCAGAGTTCCTTCGTTATTGGTCGACAGCCTCTGTCGACATAGACAGGGAACTTGGTGACTGTGCTCAGCTCACCGACTGATGACTGCCTCTTATGCGCTGCAGTCGTTCCAGGAGCAGCACAGGTGGCATTGGGCGGTACGCTGCCGCCGCCGAGCAGCCTCCTCACTTCGCCAGCCGTGCGGCGACTGAGTAGCACGTCTGACTAGAGCTGTACAGCATTCACTGAGCAAGAGGTCACGCACCAGGGGAGCACCAAGGAGACAGTTCAGGGTGGACGAGATCATTGGCCCCAGGCGCACAACCACGGCACACTCGCGGGCAAGAACATCGCAAACGTCGGAGTCATTCCATGCACCTAATGCATGACTGAAACGGTAGGGGTATGCCTTTTATGTCCATCTCGGGTGTACGTCCCACGTCGTAGCTCTGCGGCCAAGAGGGGTGTATCAGAGCCGGCGTTACCTCGCGGCCCGGCCCACGCCTCCGTAAAACTTGCAGAGTTTTGTCAGGTCATACCACTGCGGAATGTTGGGTAACAACCAGTGTTCATCGCTCAGCCCGCCTTGCTGCCAAGGCCTAGCCGACAGGCGTTCATAACACGGCGCTATCTGCGTTCAACAAAGCATCAAAAGGTGCGTGCGATATCAGGCGATGAGGCAAACTGCCAACTGACCCCGCTTTCCGAACACGCCACTGGGAATCAACAGTCCCCTCATTGAGGTGGCCTCCCGCTAACCTAACTGCATACTTCACCTCAGCGCGCATCAGCACCTGCAGCGTCTGCGCAGCCGGGGCACGGCTTGCTCGCCCGCTATTCCGCTATTGCACGATCTCTCCATACAAAAGGTCCCGCGCGGCCACGTCCGGCTCGTCGCACCGCCGCCACTCGAAGGGCGACCAGTGGGCCGGCGCCGGCGTCGGCGCCCTCCGTGCCGCCCCGCAGCAGGCGAGGCCGACCGCCTCCGCCCCGGGGCATGCCGGTCAGCGCGGCTGCGTGGCGAACCGCATGCGCTTCTGCTTCTGGCGCTGGTTGCAGAACCACACGCGCACCACGTTCTTCTTGAGGTCGAGCTTCTCGGCGATGGCGGCGATCTTTTCGCCGGAGGGGCGCGGCTGCACGCTGAAGAATGCCTCCAGCGAGCGTTTCTCGGGCGCCGCGATCGAGGTGCGTTTGCGCTTGCGCTCGGCGCCGGGCAGCACAGAGGGCGCCTCAGGGTCGGCGCGCCGGTCACGTGCCTGCGCCTCCGCCTCCTCCAGCCAGGCGTGCAGCACTGGCTTCAGAGCGATCATGTTGTTGTGGCTGAGCGTGAGCGACTCGAAGCGGCAGATGGTGGACTGGGAGAGGGCGCCGACGCCCGGAAGCCGCAGCACGCCCAGCGCGCGGCCCACGTCCGCCTGTGTCACGCCCAGCTTGATGCGCCGCTGCTTGAAGCGCTCCGAGAAGGCCTCGAGCTCACGCGGGTCCGTGTCGGCGTCGGGGCCGGCCGGGTGCAGCGGCGGATGCAGCGGATGGCCGAACACGGCGGCGGTGTGCGGCGGCACGCCGTGGTGGGTGCCGTCGGGCGCGGGCGGGAGGCCAACCGCCGCCGGCGCGCCCGACACGCAGGAGGCGTCCAGCAGCTGCAGGCCGTCCATGCCGGCAGCACACATCTGAAGCGGAGCGACTCCGGTCACAGCAGCCCCGGCCCGACGACCCACGTGCAGTCCAGCTCGGCGGCCCGTCTCGACACAGGAGCGATGGTCACGTGTCGCACGGCATGGTGCGTAGGCCATGGACACGTACGGCATTGTGCCTAGGTCGGGGACACACAAGGCATGGTGCGTAGGCCTGGGACACGTATGGCATTGTGCGTAGGTCGGGGACACACAAGGCATGGTGCGTAGGTCGGGGACACCTACGGCATAGTGCGTAAGTCAAGGACGCATGTAACGGTCACATCAACGGTCATATCAGGCATGAAAAGGCGGCGGCATCCGCTGGAGTATATCGAGGTGTTGCCCCGCCTGATCTCAGGTGACGGCGTCCACAGTCGCGTCCCAGAGCGGTCAGCATTCATACCTAACGCCTGGAGACGATGCTGACACCCTACCGCGAACAGGGTGAATGGACGGAACTGCGGGACAAGGTTACTAACAGTGCCATGGCACAATCTTACAGGGGATTTTGATGCTTAGGAACTTTTCTTCAGATAAGACAGTAGTTATGACCTTATTTCTCGTAGGAAAGCCAGGAGAATGGATCAGCGACATACCTTTAGTGAAACGATATCAGCAGTATGTAAATTCACTTCGTTCAATGCTTCTGCTGTCTTATCTATATGACTAAGTTTCCTCGCAAATGCACTTAACAACTTGCGGGCTTATTATACACGGTAATTCCTCGGGATAATGTTGCAGACAACATGATGAACAAGTTATCACATGAGGCGGTACGTTCAGGCTGCGACCGCTGTACAATCATAAATAGCATAACAAGACACACCCAGCGGGGCGTTCATATGCGCCACAGCAGGGCGACGGTCACATGTGACGTGGCAGGGCTGTCGCCCCAACAGCTACGTCTGAGCGATATTAGAACGCGAACGCGTAGGACGCGGCTGGTGCGGTCCGCCGCCCGCCTCAGTGTCCGGTTTGGCACGTTTTTGTCTAAAAAAAGTATAACAGCATGGTGCCGTAATCGTCTACCCTAACACGTGGAAGTAAGTACCCTACGCTGATACAGCCTTGAACAAAACCAAGATTACCACAACCGAGAGAGAAACAAGATCCACCGCTTGAAGGCACAAAACAACAAAACGTGGTATTTCTTCTCAGGGATCCACTCAATAAGCGACGAAAGTAGTTTTCAGAAGCTGACGCTATGATAACTATGATAGGTATTTTGAAAGATGGTAAGTGCTCTGACGCATCGCATGGTAAAAAGCTAGGTCGATGTGGACCCATGCCGCAGCTTACTCGTTATCTTATCTGTGGACACAACCCATCGCATTAATCCCTTTGTGAGGCAAAAATTAGCTTGTTACATTAATGAGCTGCGCCAAATTTGGCTTATCGCGACCTGGCTTTACAGCCCCCCAAAACTGTGAGTGAGGCCTAATTCATGGACACTCAGAGCTAGCTCTAGGATGGGACAGTATAAAACTAAAGAAACGAGGTGCTATATACATATTTTTTATTCATGCATACATATGTAACTATATTCATATCTTTTGGTTCCGGATGGTTAATCGAAGAGTTTGCGGGTGTAGCTTTGGTATCTGAGACCTTGCAAAGCATAGCTAGTTGCACAAAGGCTTCACCGCGTTTATTAGAAAATCATCTGCAGCTCAACTGGCATTTTCGCAGAATGATGCGAAAAGATATGCAATGTACCACACAATGTCACTACGCAGCCGCAGCCGCTTCTGTTTGGGCTTGGTTCGTTCGGCCAGTTACCAGTTACAGTTACCAGTTACCGACCGCCAATGACGAGCTAAATGAGCGCGGTAAGACGCGGTGTCTGGTGTGCGGACACGTTACCGCCACATCTTGCTCAGATTGTCCGACGCCCCACAAAAGGAGTTACAAGAGCAATGAAATTAGCAGTCAGCGGTAGATGATATGATGTCGAGCCTGGAACTCAACACCGCAAAGCAAGATAAAGTTACTGTAATGTAACACTGAAAGTTTCATGCGCATCCTTCTAGCGGTCAGCAAAAGGCGAGAATGCCAGTAAAATGAATGAATCAAGTCTGACAACCATCTACAGGACTAACATTAGTGCGAGTAATTTTGGTTAAAAGCTCTCAACAGTCAGCATGTGGTATGCAGCAGCCATATCTGCGATATCGCCGGCGACCTACGACGTAGCGATATGACCGGCATGCTTCTGTTCAAAACGTGCTAGATTGCCGCGTCTTTCCCTGGCATTTCCGACGCATTTCCCTTCCAACAAACTATCGCTTACTTGAAAAGTAATTTAGGGAAGCGGTGAAAGCCGGCACCAATAGGCAACAACAACCGTTCCATTGCGTGCCAGACGCGTTTTATGCCTTGACAACGCTGTAATTGCAGGCGTCATTGCCCATTTTGTCGTCATAAACGGATCGCAATTTTTGAAAGTAAAAACACTAGGCTCGATGTTATCTGTGCGTGTGCAGGTGACCACTTCCAACTGCTAACTTTGCGCAGCATGGTAGCTATCGGGTTATGATTTACAACAGATCCACAAGACATAGACAGGCGATTACTTATCTGCAGAAAGCATGCGAGCTTTTCCATGCCGATATCCTTTTTACAGTCCGGTCCATTGCGGTGCGACGAGTCTAGAATCTATCAAACGTTCGACCTCCATGGCGGTCTTATTTAAGGTTCGCTCAAGTGCTTTTCAAGCAGTGCATGAAATCAGAATTTCAGATCAGATTAACGAATGACAAAATTCGAACAACCTTCCGAATATTCAGATATTCCGAACCCGAACGTTCAGCTCTACCTGCGACTCACCTGCTGCGTCTTGGATGTGGGCGGCGGCGGCGGCGGCGGCGGCGGGCGAGGTGCGCCGGCGTGGTACATCATGTCCCACACCTGGTGCGGCAGCGAGGTAGGCGGCGTGTGCGGTGACGTCATCACCGGCTGAGGGTGGCCGTACGCCATGTCGGTGCGCAGCTGAGGCGGCGGCACGCCATGGCGGCCCATGTCGGCCAGCGCGCCGGCACGGCTCAGAAGGCTGTCGTCCAGGCCGCCCAGCAGGTTACCCTGATGGCAGGGGGCAGGTTGGAGGTCAAGCTCAGGTCAGGCTGGGCGCCGAAAACCGCTTGTTGAAGTGGTTTTGTTTGGTTTAGTCCATTCCTGAGACGAATTCTTCAGAGCATAATTGCAGAGAATGTCTGCACGTTTCAAGCTCAAACGCGCTCAAATGCTGGGCTGCAAACTTTGGCACGGTTAACATGGGCCATATATTCACGTGTGTGATGTTGTGGTCCCTTCGGTGTTTTTCCACTTGTATTTCCAACCATCAGAACCTTCCTGAAACTTGATCGGCTTCCTGCAAATTAATTCTACATATCCCGTCAAGATTTGAGCTTGCGGCACCCAGGAACAACTTCATAAATGTTTACGTCCTAACCCCCCCCCCCCCCCACTGCCTCAAAAATTTTTGCTGGAAGCATGCCGGGAAGAATTGCGGTCTGTTGAAGGTCACTGTGCCTTCCACTGTACTGCGAGTACGTCTGGTCGGTGTTAGGACGAAGTACACCGTATCACGGCACTTCGTATCAAAGTTGATCCTGGTGCGTGCGTACATAGCAGCCCTTAAGGATACGTAGCCTTCCTTAGAGAGTCCTAACCAGTGTCAAAAATGTTATCAGCTCCATATTCCTGCATGCATCTATTCATGCATCATCAGCACAAAGTATAGTGGAGCATTCATCACTGACGCAAAGCATACGTGCATCGCACAATACACTAGCGGAGTGCTTTCATCCATCTTTGGACGCAACGCGTCGTTTAGGTTACCTAAACACAGGATATTATGAAGCCCGTTTTTACCCCACTTTTCCCCTCCTAAGTGCCTTAATGGCATGTTTTGAAAACTTTATATGCCAAAAAGGATGCACGCCCTGACGGTCAGTTTGGGCCATTGAAAGACGAATTAAACCTTGCAGATTTTGATATCTCACGGTGGTAAAATTAACCGCGACATCGAATTCAGTCGAAATGAATTACATTCAAATATAATTAAGCTGTTATCTATATTTGCGAACAACATTATGCGTATAGATTAGACACTAGCAATAGCCTCATTCCTCGAAGAGAGACCAGGATAATGAACGAATAGATGTGCTGCTATTTTGGCAACACACCCTAGTTGAAACGATTATCAGCAGTAAATGTTTGTCTCGTGTTGATTCGTGTTTCGCCAGACGCATACTAACAAAGTTGACAAGAGGGACAGATCATCGCTACACGGATACTAGCATGGCCGCAAAATATTTGACCATCATTTATTTTTAAACTTCTCGCACTTACTTCTGATATTCGTTTTGATAAAGGCATGCCGCAGAACTATCAATGCATTCATCGCTCCTCTCTCCTGTTTTTTTTTTACGAGAAATAATACTGTAACTGATTTTTTCATCTTTTTACAATTAGATTGAATTGAAAATCCGGCGCACTTTGGTCCAGAATATTAACTGTATGTTAGCCTTGTAAAGCACTGAAATCGAAATATTGGTAATTTTTTCGGTACGTGATCTTTAGTAAATATGAGGCATCACACGGATTTCGTATATCTAATTATGCACATTACTAGCCTATTTGCATTTGTCAAGCTCAGGCTTAGAGCCGGGTCGTGGCATCGACACCGGCCGCATCACACCAGTGCTCCGAACAATGTGCCGACTGCATCTCAAACACGATGGTGAGCTCCCATCCCTGATAACGGAGTTCCTCCGTCCCACGACCTGGGCGCGGTCCCGCATGCAGCTGGAGGCGTCGCTACCTCTCCCTCTCTCACTTCGCTGTCCGCTCCCCCGCCTCGAAAGGAAGGTGGGCTAACTACGGAAAAACACTGCACTTTGCATGCAAATGTGAATAGTCGTAGCCTTTTCAGCTGGCTTAGCCCTTTCCCCCTGACTAAATGGCAAAACTAATGCCTTGCCTACAACAAATGGAATAAAAGGATCTCAGTACCGCTCAACTAAGGAGTGGAGATACATGACCATATGTCAGCGAGGCATGGCTTCTGATCCTCAGGTTTTTGTATCAACCTTTTACTAGTTGACACGTTTTGGACGTACAGCTTGACTAGATGTGCGAATGTGAAGATGACTGAAATGATAGAAGCTAGTTGTGGGGATACAAATGTCCCTTATAATATGACACCTTAAAAGGAGTCGGGGAGGTGCGCTTTTCAACATTAACACTGCAGAACAATGAACACCTACCATCCATTTCTCAATGTGCCGCTATTAAAGAAATTTAATTGTATAGGATGCAAATGACAGTGCTCTGGAAATCTTTCCGCTTCAAACGTATCGTTAGCTTGCGGCTTCAAACAAGCCACGCTTTGGTAGTGGGTGCCTTATCAGTGCAGCCTGGGGACCGCTCCAGCCGATTCCCTGCAGATCCAGCCTGTGTTTGCCCGTGAGTAAGGCGCAGTACAATCCGCTGATGACATGTCCGGCCGCTAGCCTGACGTTCTTGGTGGTGTCCCGCGCCCACGTCCTTTTCAAGTATGAATTGCGTTGCTAAATTATAATTTGTTAGAGTAGCGGTGGGTTCAGAGACCTGAACCACCAGTCACTGGCATGTGCACCGACTACGCCTTAGGAGTGGTCCAAAACACGTGATATTTTCTCCACAGCCTATTAACCAAATGTCTATGGTCATATCTGACGGATCTATATAATGTCAAACAAAGTCATGACACGACTATCCGATGTAGAGCCACGGGGTGATGTGCTCGAACTCGCTGTGTCGGGCACTGCTGTGAAACGAAAATGTCGTGTGATTATAATGACCCGACGACACGAAGAGAATGGAATAAGTACCTGCCGTTATGCTTGCGAGTTATCTCGAAGCTGCCAATGAACGCTAGCTGGTATGGCCGCCTACCTATAGCCTCTTAAAGGGAATGTCCTATATTTGTATGAGGTTTTTAATTGAAATAGCCGTCTTGCAGATCATTCGGTGCGGTTCACAGCCCTGCTCTTCTTAAGACCTAAACCCGTCCAGTTTGTGAGCTACGCGCCCGCGAAGATGTTAAGATTATTTCTGGGGGAGCATTTCAAAAGTTGTCCAAGCATCGAAGAAGCCATAACAACAGCATTCAAATTATGCCATTCCATCGGCTGTAAGGCAATCAAGGCCAATACAAATATAACTGTCGAGTGGTCCATATGTCCGTGAGCACGATTTCCAGACAAAACGCCCGTCATTTGGCCCTCAATGTTCTGCAACGTACGATAAAATAATCAAACAAAGTCGTATTGGGAAGCATATTTATTGAACAGAGACACTGTGCTGTAAAGAGCAGCCTTTCCCGCTTAAAAGTGTATAATTATCAAGTGAGTTGTTTCATCGTATCTGATGCCTGCTTTAATATCTTCAAATGTGAAAGATTCCCTGCGGCGTCAACTGCGTCGGTCCTTGTTGTGGAGTGGACGTGTCCCAACGGGTGTGGATGTCATAAGAGAATAAACCCCGCCGAAGGCCGCCAGCATCGCCGCCGCCTTCCCCGTCACCGAGGATCAATGACACTGGGACCCGCCGAACGTCCTCCGAGACGGGCGCGCTGATTGGTGGATATCGATTGAGGGCGGGGCCACGGCAGTGACGCAGCATGTCGCCGCGAACTGTCTGTAATCAGGGGTGCCGACGGTCGGAATGGCCGGGCGTTTTGACTCGCGCCGCTCCAGCCCCGCATGTTGGAATATTGGGAAGGTCGTCAGGCCCGACCTTTCGGCCCCCACTGGCTTAGTGCTTGCACCTCAGTACGAGATTATGAATCCGAAAGCAGCCGGTTCCTAGTACACGTCGTCAAGCCGCGCCCCATTGCCGACTGCAACACGGAATTGCATTGTCCTACCTGACCTTGATCAGCTGCAGCGAAAGGAGCACACGACCCCTGGCGACAGTCCAGTGACTAAACATGGGAAGAGAGGACGGGAGTCCATTGCCTCCCACCTTCGCCAAAGGTTAACACGAACTATAGTGATACATGAAAGTACTTGATCCAGCGTGTTAGTCCTTCTCTTTTGGGTCATCTCTGCGCCTCTAGTTGAGCATGTTATTCAAATACTGTTGAAATTATTGAAGTATGATTCATTCATCATATCCTGTTGTAAACCAGTGAGACCAAACGGCGGCTGAATCTCGTCATACTGGGACGGCACAGTCAGTTTTTAAGTCTATTTCTTCCAATGAAATAGAGTTCTAGGGGGAGGCTGGTGCTGTCGATCACTTCTCTAATTTCCCTTCTTGTGTTACGTACTCTGGCGGCGTATGACAAACGAGGTGGCAACAGCGGCGAGAACTAACGAACACCATCGTGTCAATGATGTCGAGGCCCACGCATGGTACGCTAGACAACTTTGGAGACCATGCCTTTGGGTTTGACCAATACGTTGAGCAGTCCTACTTCCCTCAGATTTTGGCGGGGATAGATAGGCTTACTGTGGAGGTGTTTGCGCAAACGCCATGGACTCATCAATCCTTTTGCTTGAAAACTGGCTGGATGTGGCCCAGGCCACTCTTGACAATTTATGTAACCGAAATCGAAATGGGTCACGGTTTTGAGAATGTGACGTAAAAGTGTCGCACGAGCAGAGATGGGGGAGTAGACGCGGAATTCACTCTTTGCCAAAAATATTTCCTTAAAGAGTGTGCGCAGCCGAATTGGGATTTTTCATTGTAGACGTAGGATCGCAGATAATTCCTATTCATATCGATTGACATCTTTTGTTTCTACAAATTCGCTTCAGCAGGCTGGATATTCGAGTGCCCCAACTTTTTTCACAACGCGCAATATTATCGGGTGACCCAAAAAGTTTTTTCTCCAGTAATTCTCCGCTCATATCACAAATGTGTCGTTAGCTTGAGCGAATGGTCTTCTGATAAGGAAACTCGTCAGCAATGGCAGCAAATTTCGAACACCAAGACTGCGGGCATGGCCATTTTGCAAGCAACGTACTCGTTCACTGCTTCACAGAGGGATTGAGAGGAGGCATGACTGGAATAACTTTGGAATAACTTCA